GTTTGAAAGTTTTACTAACCCTTATGTTTCATATTTCTTACATTATTTGAAGTCAGAAAAAACAAGGTTAAATCAATAACATAACCTCAAACAATAATTTCTCTCAAAAATATCATATATATATCCACTATTTACCCATATGTTGTTGTCACTTGACTCGTTATGAATCAGGTGGTACCGTTTTTTAAATTCCATCATTTTGAAGTTTTTATGAAAGAGTACTTTTCTTTTTTGGGAGTGAAATTTTGCATATTTTCATGAAAAACTGTTCTGTTTTTTGAAGTTGGAAATAAAATCTCATGAAGTGATAAAATGTGCCAATATCTCAACAAATCACAATTAACATTTTCATTATCTTCACACACACACACACACACACACACACACACACACACACACACACACACACACACTGTATTAGAACAACTAAGTTTCTCTGAAACCCTCCTTTTTTGTCTTTCACACTTTCCTTCAAACACACACACACACACACACACACACACACACACACACGATGGTCAACACATATATGCCATATACTTCCATGTGTATATATACATTCCAAGCAGAACTTCTTTACTTCATCCTTTCTTTTATTTAATTGGTGGTTATTTTGTGTATGAGACCCTTTTGATTCTTTATAAACCTTTTCTGAATTACCAAAAGGTACATCTACCCTGTGACTATCTTATTAGGTCCACTTACCTTCTACCTTCACTACAGGTCTACTATTACAGACAGCAGCCCACCTGTTGTTGTACAGCAGTGTTGCTGGGGTTTTTACACACTGCATAGTTTATACCTGCTGGACACACCTATATTCTTGGTAAACCTTGTAAGTGTACCGTTAGCTCATCTTTTCTCCTTCACAGTTTGCGTTGGCCATCCTTTACCCCTTCATCAATGGCCAGCATCTGGCTACAGCACCACTGCTGGTCTCTGGCTCTCAACCTAGCAGTGAAACCTCAGCAACACAACTGTGCCTGAGACCCTGGCACCAGCGCAACACACTACCATGTCAGTGTCTGAGTGCTGAGAATGGACTACCAGGCAAATAAAATCTGGTCAACAGCAGTCTTGTGGTCATAAATTGACCAAAGATGAATGGGTAGAAGGAGCTGATAGACTGTACAGCAAAGGTGGACTACAGTCTGTAACTATACACCTATATAGTAAAGCTATAAAACAGGTGGACCTAATAAAGTGGGCAGTGAGTGTAGATACAAAGTAGGTGTATCTTGTGTAAATCCTGCATATAAACATTTATAAATAATCAAAAGAGCCTCATTCAACACTAAATAACCACCCATTAAGTGTGTGTATGTGTGTGTAAAAGAAAGAATGAAGTAAAGGAGTTCTGCTTGGAATGTATATCTATGGTGTGTGTATGTATTATGCCTAAATGTGTTTGAAGGAAAGAGTGAAAAAAGATAAAAAACAGTAAACTGTTGTAATACTGAGTGGCTTTCCATTAAAATGTATTGAATTTTCCTAAACAGCACACACTCTTTGTGTGTTTTGCGTGTGTGTGTGTAAGGTGGTACATGTTGATTGTGATTTGCTGAGATGTTGGCTCATTTTATCATTTAAAGTAAAAAAAATGTGATCATAAATGTTTCATTAAACAATGTAAAAATTACAAAAAAAGTAGCTCTATTGGACCAAAGACTAAAGAAAGCACAATGACGAAATCAGACAATGTAGCCAAACCATTTGACCGATGTTGATGTTTTCAGATTTGTGTTTAGCTCTAAGAAGTGAAGGGAATCTAAAAAATGAAATGTTTAAATAAAAATGTATCAGAACATTGACACTAACAGTAGAAAAACACTGCAGCTTGCTTGGCCAATTATAATCCTATAGACTCATAGGTTACTGTAAAAGCCCAGCACTTATCTCAGGATCACTATCCCAAGACTTTAATAGTTCCTACTGGCCCAAGAGCTTAATGAGGCCTCCTATTGTGGTGCATATGTGTTACCTCTTATCAAAGAAATGAGCACAGCCACACAATGAAGACAACCACAGACACTGGTCAAAGTTATTATTGTAGAATACTTTGATTGTTTTTTTATACAGACAAAAAGTGTTGACTTATTTTCCCAGTAAATTCTTAGATTTCCATACAGTTTAGTCTACAGTATACAGGTGTGTTCTTTCATCATATATAGATACTTTTTTCTCTTAAGTAACAGGCAGGTAATTATTAATATATTTAATAGTTTGGATTTTTTTTTTTCTCTTCTTTTTTTTTGTCTTTTTTTATTCATTGTAGCGCAGTAAGAGTATGCTCAGGAGAATGTGCAACTGTCTGTTTTTTTCCATCAGTTAAAAGAGCACTGCTGGAAAAAACAATAATAATAGTCATATAATCATAATAATAATCATAATAATGTACAAGATGTTTAATTTCAATTCTTTACAAAAAAGCAAAAAGAGAAAAAAAGAGAGGAAGAGACAAAGAACAGAACAAAAATGTGCTTAAATTGTAAACAAAAGATGCACATGTGCACATTTTGGCAAAAATGTACAGCGGTGGTGCAGTTGTACAATATTTTGTAAATAACTTTTATATTAAATATATTATATTATATACTCTTTTCACATTTTGAATTTTCTCACCTTACCTTGAGTGAATTTCCTACAACGAAATGGAACAAAAGGCAGATGATGGACTTTTTGGATTTTTTTTTTTTCTTTTCCTGTATACATACCTTCAACTCTATCAGGATTTTGAGCCTTGGTGAAGCTGCTGATAGCTGAAGTGGAGAGGAGAGATACCGTACATATGCCATGATACATTTCATCCCTGTCTGGGGAGTTGAATGAGATCGGGGGGGCTACAACGTAGATACTGGTTTGAAATCGTCCAGAGACAAGTATAGCTTCGAAGACTATCGTGAAACAGTTAAGCTTAAGGATTAGATAAGATTAGGCAAAGATACATCATAGTTATGGGGTTGAGTAAGTTTAGTGATCATTTCTTTCCTCGTTGGCCATCAATGTTAGTGAGCTTGCTGTGTCGATGCACTGAAATGGGTCTGTGTTCACTCAAAACCTACCAGAGCTCTCAGCACACGAGACTCTACTGGGACTGTATGAGCGACCTGGACCCTTTCAATGGCTTGAACACGCATGTAAATAATACTTTTTTTATGTACTGCTTACAATGGGTGGAGGAATCTAATCTCACTGAGCCATGTTCTAATGTTCTCCTTCTGAGTCCTTGGATATCAAGATGTTCAAAACCTTGAATGTCCCTCAGCTTCAAAGATCACAGCTGGATGAGCCACCCATTTAAATTAGTGTATTCGTTGACATAAAAAGTAGTGAGAGTGGCAATGAGGCACCACTCCAATCCAAGGCTCTGCTCTGCAGCCATATGAGAAAAAGGGTTGAGGAACTGGAGAAGAACATTTGTAGTCAGTAGCACATTAATGACCCTAAGGAGAAATGTTATGTCCACCTACTGCTGGAGAGACACAGTGAAAGCCAGTGAAAAATGGACCATCCATTAGACAAAGGTGAAGTCAAACAATGACAGTGAGGTGCGCTATGATTATCAACACATGCTCTGCACAGACACCACTGAGCAATGCAATGACATGATCCACGGATGTTCATGCTTGCATTGTATGCTTTCAACATTTGCCAGTCTCTGACAAATGGGCACTCTAGAAAAGTATTCTATACAGATAAAGGATTTCTGAGAGCCCTATGTACATGTTTATCAAGCTTATTTCACAGAGCTGTGGACAGGGCAGTCTGTTGCATAAGTGCCGGTCCCATTCCCCAGATGATTGTATTGCATTGCAATGCATTGACTAGAGCAATATGATCTCGGTCGTACCAGCCCAGAATCTTATGGGGTACAAGAGGAAGCTGTCCCCTCTGGTACTCAGACCTATGAAGTGTCAATGGAATGTATTCGAATCTAGTGATCTATAATGTGTCATGGTACATCATGCGTGTTACGGGATGGTGCGACATGCTGCTCTGGGCAGCACGTGACTTTTTTTGGTATCCTAACGTCGCCCGATACCAAAACAGACCCATAGCCAAACCAAACAGTGTAATTTGCATGTTGTCAAAGTCCACTGGTGACCACAGGGGTGTTCTACCTTTAAACTGTTTGTCCAACCCAGTGAGCCCTGATAATGTGCAAAAAAAGTGATGTCAGTCTCACAGATTGTCCATCATTCATTTCTTTGATAGTAATCACATGATGACAGTAGTGGCAGTATAAGATGGGGTTTCCTATCCTGGTTCAGACCCTGACACCACAGTCTGTAGTCAGATGTTTGACTTCATCACAAACATTTATCACTACTCGATGACCTCAGAAGAGAAAAAAGAAATAATAACGATGTCTGAAAGCAAGAGTGGCTATGAATGGATTTAAAGGGCCAGCAAGTATGTATATGTTATGAGTGAATCGTACTATTTCACGATGCTTTAAAGGGTAAATGCATTTTGTTGGCGTAATCCACAAAACACGTCAAAGGAAAAAATTAACAGTCCGAATAATGTGATGGAAATCTGAGATTGGGCAAATCCACGTCCAGTTTCAGCTGCGGTAAATCAGCCAGCGTGATCACCGAGATGATCCTGAGGCCTGAACTGATATGATGGAAAGTCATCAGAACCAGCTGTTAAACATCAGTGAACGAAGTCTGAGAAGGGGGACTGCCCGAATCTTCTACCCTGTAGCGTATTTCAAGCAATACATTGAAATGTTTAAAATGGTATGAAATAATAAGAATGGCTTTTAGTTTAAACAAACCTTTTCTCCAGTAAGAATCTATCGACTGATATCAAACAAGAAAATGTTTTTTGCAAAATAACGTTTTGAGTGTAGTTTGATCTAATGGACGATTAAATGTTTTTAATGTTTTTTTTTTGTTTGTTTGCTTTGCTATTTGCAGACGCATTATAATTTAATTACTTTTAACTTTAAATTTACTGTAACTGTTTTGTTAGTACTTAATTTTTTTTTTCTATTTTCAGGACAGACACAACACATACACACACAAAGAGAGAAATAGACAAAGCGAGAGTGAAAAATAATGTCGCTGAGCGAACAACAAATAAATAAATAAATAAATAAAATAAATAAACAAATTAAAGAATGAATAAATAAAACCTTCAATAAATAAACAAATGTTGTTAAAGCTAATTCATAAAGCATTAGTCATAGAGTAATAAAAGTTGTATGTCCAAACAGAGTGATGATAATCCGAGCACTAATGATGATGGTCAGAATAATACGATTGTAGTTATGAGTATAATAATGATGTTAATAACATCAATAAAAAGTGGAGTGATTGGACCCCTACTCTGCCTGCAAGGAGCTCATAATGCCGTTTCCGGAAAGTCAAAAGTCACAAACGTGGATTTTACCGTTAAAAGTCCTATCTGAAACGAGTCCCCCTATCCCGATCCTGTCCCGATTGGGGATGTGTTCCTCACCTTCTTGGGCCAGGTCTAAGTCCCCACAGTCACATGGCACACTGGCCTCCCCTCTACACAGTGAGAGGAAGTGGGTGTCTGTGGGCCTCTAAAGACGTAGGTGCTTCGGTGGATGGTGGTGTTGAGGGTGAATGATGGTGATTTTGTGGACTTTTTTTTGAATAGCTGGGGTTGAAGCACACCAACTGCTGTGTCCACAGAAGTTCCCCAACCACCTCAAATTTCCGCATCCTTCAGCGGCCTTCCTCCAGGGCCCCACAGACAGTCATAATGAGGTCTCCAGGCTAAGCAGGGGGCACGGCTGTCTGGGAAAGGAGGTCCAGTGTCCAGTGTGGTCTGTGAGTCGGGTCAGGTGGTGGACGCTGCTCTCAATGGCGTTGTTGTTGCGGTTGGGCGTGGCAGGCAGGCTGTACTGGCGGTAGGGGCGTGGATGATGGCGGGCTGGGGGAGGAGGTGGGGGCTTGCGAAGTGCCGGGTGCAGGTGGTGGTGGTAGTGGTTGTGCTTGGACAGTTCCGATTCGTCGTCGATGTCCGTGTCGTCGATCAGCGGGATGTTGTGGATGAAGTCGTTGATGAGAAACTCAGGGTGCGCCATGAAGTTGTGGATGGAGTTCCTGGACTCGGGCTTCTCAATGCCATCGTAGAGCGAGCTACGGAACGCTTTCACCACCCGCATCTGAGGGAGAGGAGGGGGACATGGACAAGACGAGGAAGACGAGAAGGAATAAAGGGGGACAAGGAGGGAACAGGACAGAAAGGGAAGAGGAAGATGCAAGACGAAAGGCAGAGAGGTAAAAATAAGGGAAGACAGAGGGTGTGGGTAGAGAAAGGAGGTGGAAACAAAAGAAATCTTTTAGTACAAGTCTGGTAGACACTGATCCTGGACACCGTAGCACCTTCTCTGGGCATGCCTTAATGCACAGACAGCTCAAGATCAAGTTGCTGCAATGTGGCATCAAATCTGCTCTGTCATTACTACGAATACAAAGTTTATTTAGTCAGTCAATATTTCAAGTGTTTCTTTTTTCTTTTCTCTTTCTCACTTCTTTCGCACTTTAAAAAGTGCAGTCATTATTTGATCATTACTTTGTTCTGGACTGAGACAGTTCAGTTTTTTTTAATCTATAAAATATGAAGCGCAACCAGATCTTAAGAGTTTCTCAAAGAAAGAGAGATGACAAATGAAAAACACACCACAAACTGAGGTAGCAGGAAATGGACTCATACAGTCAGTTCACCACCATCACTCAGTCAAGACGAAGGACGTTCATTCTCATGAACTCAAAACAGAACACACCAGGCTTCTGACAGGACGACGAATGGAAGCACACGAATACAAACACAGCCAACACAAAACAAATGCCTGCTATGTGTGTATACCGACCAGTTAGAAGGAAACTGAAAGAGCGAGAGACATGGACTGACAGTAAGAGGCAGGAAAAGAGAGAGAAAGAACGAGAGAGCGATGCCTTAATACACACATAGACACACAGCCAAAGGAAGAGACGGTGGGTTAGAATCTGCAACAGAGTGCTGGGAGGAACATTAGAGGGGAAAGAAATGGCCAGACACACAGACTGGGGGTCCACCTGGTGGGATGGAGGGAGGATGCAGTGAGAGGGGCGGAGCACCGCACCTGCAGTCATGAAGTATGACTGATGCCTCACTGGCAGTAGCAGCGGTCAGGAGCGTGGCTACATCACAGATATGCAAATGAAGCAATGAAGCTCTCTGGTCATGTGACTGTGATGTGGCATCACATGTGAGCATGCAAAGCCTAAAGAAGCCATCAACCAATGAATGCTAATGAGGAGAGGAGTTATGTGCTGTTAGGAGATCGTAGTGAGTTGGAGAGTAAGAATGAATTGAGGTCCTGAGTCAGGGTTTCTTTCTGAGTGAATTACATTAAAATAGTTCGGAATGGAACTTTAACAAAGATTAATGCTATGGGAATAATGGCTATTTCATTGATGACCATGAATGTTTAAGATTAATGAATATTATTGTATTCATTAATTCATGTTGTTTTATAGTCTCATTAGATGGCTAACCTAAATATGTGATTGCTTGGCGTGTGGCCTCAGTGCAACAGTACGTTTAAGACCTAATCCCTAGAACTCATAGCATATTATTCAGTTTTTAATCTTAAAATAATACACCATTTTTCTCCAACCAATCTTTATTTCCCACTTTAGTGGCATACTGATTACCACAGACATCATTTTAGAAATGTTTTCCTGTCCTTAGAACATAATACCTTATTATAATTATAATACCTTATAATGAATAATTACCCTAAGAATCTTATCATAGTGAATTAAAATAAAGAAAATCGTCAGTTGCTTCAAGCGCTGGATTCCTTTAAGGCCTATTTTTCAGTAAGTACTACTAGTAACTACTATAAAAGATCTAAGTTATGTATTTATTAGAATGAGGAATTTAAGTGGGGGCCCACATTTAGGATTTAGGACACCTAAACCAAACTCTAAAAGCGTGATGACTTCAGCCTGCTCTGACTCGGGTCATTTCCTGCCACGCTGGTGGCACTCGACACCCACTTGCTGTGACAGAAGACCTTAACAAGCACTGTCACACTGACGAGCACAGCGCAGGCACAATAAACACAGACACGGCGAAATCAGCACAAACACGTCGCTGTGTGGGTGCAGTATCGTATGCCTGGATTCTGTCTGTTTCCAAAAGTAGCACAATTCGGGATTTTTCCTGCACTTGGCATCCTTCCAAAACACACTAAGTAGTAGTAGAGGATAATTTTGGATGGTAGTGTGGAGCGGTTTTTTCAGAGATAGAGAGAGAGAGAAAGAGAGTAAGAGAGAGAGCGGAGCATCGTTTGGCATGCAGCAGTGCAGACAGGTGCAGATGGGTGAACAGAAGAGCTGGCGCGAGCTTTGATGCGTTCTGCTGCAGGCTGGCTAACCAGGAGAAGAGTGGAGGAGCACAGGAGCCAATCAGAAACCAACACACACAGTGGACGCGCTCATTCCAGTGCAGCTGTCTCGTTCTGTTACGGAAACGGAAAAAATAAAGGAAACTGAAGAGAAAACAAAAAGAGACAAAACTGAATGCATGGTGGTAAGCAGCCAGGCTCATGCTGTAAGGATAAATCAAATGAAGCAGTAGCACATATACACACACGTCTCTGATGTGTATATATATACATATATAGATTTGGAGATGAGAAGAATTAGATGCACGTTCCTTTGCTGCAGTATAGCCCACCTCCCCCACCACCCTCTCACCCCAGTCCAAACAAACTCACCCAGCAAAGGAAAAAGAAGCTAAATGAACTGGAAAGAAAAGATATCAAACGACAGAAAAACGACAAACGAATAAACAAACAAACAGGAAGAAACGGTCAAGCGTTTGGTTAAGTGCTTATCTGTTTTTCCAAAGAGCCTGTCTGTCAGCAAGGAAAAAGACTTCATGCAAATCGTGAATGATTTCAATAATGTTTTTGTTTTGTCGTTTGTTTTCATTTCGTGTCTTTTCTTCTTCTCATTTTTTTTTTTTTGCATGGATACAGGTAAACTTTCGAGTATAATGCCCACAGTAGAGGAATGGAGGAAAGCAAAGACTGGATGTTACTAGTGATGTTTTCTCTTTGCTCTGGATGGTTAGCATGCCAGATTACAGTCCACTGTCTCCCCCACGCTGCCCTTCAAAGAAAAAGCTTGATGGAAAAACTCGATCATTAAAAAACGAACTCAAAGTATATTCCATACAAACAGACTGTTCTTTTTTTCTTTCCAAAGATGTTCTGCAAATCAACTACAGCTAAACAAGAGTTACTGAAGCAGGAACAGAGTGAGTGTGTAAGCAGAGGAAGGGGAGAGTGCTAAAAAAGCTTGGGATGAAAACTGAAGGTTAATGATAATGACCTCAAATCCTGTTAAAGAAATGGCCTCACGTCCCGCTGACCTTATGAATTTGTGTCGAGTCGAGTTAAAGTCATGAACTTGCATCCTGAGGGTTTAGATCATCACTGTCACTTGATGGTCTACAGTCCCCCTTTAATGCAGGGTTAAACAACCTTCGCTTCACCAGTGAACTGATGAGACCAACAGATACGCATCTCCAGTAGATCTTAGGATCTACTTATGAGTCTCCAGTGAAGGTTTTAACATTGCTGTTACTGTAAGTTCAGACAATTCACATTATATTCTTTGTGGTCACTCAAGACGCATCTGGCCATGTACAGTATTTATCAAGCATCAGATCAAAAAGTGCTGATCTGGGATCAGCTAAATGTGTTCATATGACTAGCAGAAAGGATATCGAAGCCAAAGAATGTTCCTAAATCAGCAGTATTCTTCCAAAGACTGTGAGAAACACAGGCACACATGCCAACATTCACAGGGGAGATGAAGAGGTTAGATTTACTGTAAGTAACCAAAGCTTCAAGTGTTGGGGAAAGCTGTTGTGACTCATTTTCAATTATGAATTATTTCCCACTGAAGCCCTCCTTTGTGCACAGAGTCAGTTACCATACATGGAAAAGGTCTAAAAGGTGAGAGGTAAACATGATCCATCAGAGCTATGCCTTCACACAATTTACAAAACCCCAATGAAAAAAAAACACTGTAAAGCGCACTACAGGACAATCTGTATGGAATAGATACAAGATAGATTAATCTAAATACAATGTGTATATGTCCATAAGTTTGTGGACACTTGCTTGTTTAATGTTTCTTCTGACATCAGGGGTATTAACAGGGACTTTGTCCTCCCTTTGCTGTCGTAACAGTCTCTACTCTTTTAGGAAGGCTTTACATTAGATGTTGAAACATTGCTGTGGGGATTTGATTGCATTAAGCTATAAAAGTGAGGTCAAGTACTGATGTTGGTTGATAAATTCTGGATCACAAACAGCATTCCAACACACCCCAAAGGTATACAACTGTTCTCCATTACTGTGGAGAATGCAGTTCTACTGCTCCACAGACCAATGTTGGGATGCATCATGCTCCTCTAGCCAACACTTGGCACTGGCACTAAGCATTGTGACCATAGGCTCATGTGAAGCTGCTCCAGATCAGTCCGTTCTACTACTGACAATGGTTTCCTGTAAACATTATACAAGCTGTGCGTTTGCAATTGAACGCCTGCGTCAGCAATAGCATTCTATCGGTAGCAGCGCATGAATACTTGTGGATGTTTAGTTTGTGTATAAGGCAGAGTGTGTGTATGTGTGCGTGTGTATATATATATATATATATGTACTTACACACATGGGCAAAAGTATGTGGACACCTGATCATCGCACCTTCATGAGTTTGTTGGACTTCCAAATGATCTCAAAGGTGTTCAGTGGAATTGTGCAAGACACTGGAGTGCCTCCAAACCACAATAATCAAATCATTTCTTTACACACTTTACTTTGCACACAGGGACACAGTCATGCTGGAACAGGAAAATGCCTTGTCACAAAGTTGGAAGCATATAATTGCCTAAAAACATCTTTGTATGTAGCATTGACATCACTCTTCACTGGAACTTATGGGCCTATACCAAACCTTGAAAAACAACTCCAGCCCATTATCCCTCCTCCACCAAACTCTACTGTTGGCACTCTGCATTCCGGTAGGTAGTGTTCTCCTGGCATCTGCCAATCCTGGATTCATTGATCAGACTGCTAGACAGTGAAGCGTGATTCATTACTCCAGAGAACACGTTTCCACTGCTCTACAGTCCAGTGACAGTGTGCTTTACACACCTCCAGTCAATGCTTGCCATCGCACATGGTGATGTTAGGCTTGTGTGCAGCTGCTTGGCCATGAAAACCCATTTCATGAAGCTCCTGACGTACAGTTCTTTTGCTGATGTTGCTTTCAGAGGTAGTTTGGAATTCTGTAATAAGTGATGCAACAGAGCTTAAACAATTTTTACAAGCTCCTCTCAGCTTTCGGTGGCTCCACTTTGTGAGTTTGCATGGTCTACCACTTCATGGCTAATCTTTGTTGTTCTTAGATGCTTCCACAGTTGACCGGGGCAGATGTAGCACGGCAGAAGTTTCACAAATTGACTTGAGGCAGAGGTGGCATCCTATGACAGAGCCATGTTTGAAGTCACTGAGCTCTTCAGTACGACCCGTTCTACTGCCAGTGTTTGTCTATGGAGATATGTGCTTGATATGATACACCTCTTAGCCACTGGTGTGGCTGGAACACCTGAACTCAATAATTAGGAGGGGTGTCCACACACTTTTGGCCTTAGAGAGTATATACACACTGCCTTACACACACACACAACCCAATATATATATATATACTGACACATATACACTGACACTGTAATTTATGCATTTACAATTTAACACCTAAGTGCTGTTGTAACCAAGAAGAGCATAAGCCCAATGTTTTACAAGTGTAATTCCATCTATGAGGGAGTAGGTTGGAGGCTGATAAAACGTTTAACATACACAGACATTCTGCCTACAAATCTTACTGCAGGCAGAGAAAAACAGCGTGATGAGGACAGCAAAAAAAGAGGAGGGGAGGGTGAGTGAGGAGCCAGGCGTTAGAGGGTGAGTAAAAGGGGTCTTACACTGAAGCATGGACATGAGAGGACATGTAACACACACACACACACACGTGCAAACACACACGCACATACACACTCGCAAAAGAAATAGGATGAGACGCGTGTTGACATGGAGGATGGAGCAGCACACAGAGCGGACAGCTGCAGGGGGGGCATGAGAAGCATAAGCCTGACACTTCTACCCTGCAACCAAAAAACGGGCCTTGAGCGCACACAAGAATGATGGAGGAAGAAAGCAAAAACTCAGCACAAGAACTGAAAGCACCTCGTTGTTTGAGAAGCTTCGAGAAATCACTTTAAAGGTTATGAAAATGAAACTTATGCATAAAAACAGCAAAAAATGAGTGGTGTTAAACTAAAGTTGTATCAATACTGGAAATTGTATTTCATGTTCAAGTTTTGTAAAACACATCTGTATTTTTTTATCATAATAAAACATTTAAATCTTCCTAAAAGACGATTTGAAGGAGAACAGGCAGCCTACAGAAAAAAAGGTAGAAGACAGGAAAAAACAGAGTGGAGTGATGAGCCAATGGGGAGAGAGAGAGAGAGAGATATATAGATAGAGAGAGAGGAAAGGAGAGAGAGAGAGAGATAAACAGGAAGAGCTGACTGATGGATCTGTGAAAGGGAGTCAAAAGCACAGAGACATTAGGAGACACTTTAGCAAAACCTCGGTATGAGGAAACAACCTGCATTATCTGAAAAACAGATAGAAGAGAGATAAAGAGAGAGAGAAGAGAAGAAAGAGAGGAGAACCTTATAGGGCTTATACTCGAAGGTTTACCCCCCGCGCAGACCGGGACAGTTCACCACACTTTCATTTGCTTGATCACAGGAAAAGCTTTTCTAGCTCTGCACCACAGCAAACCACGCTTGACAACAGAAACCTCTCGAAAAAAACAGAAAGTGGTGCCATGTTCTCTCTGCATTTACTCAGCAAGCACTCAATTCTTTTGGACAGATTTCTCTGGGCGCTCTCACTGTTGGGCTGCACGATCAGCGGACTGCAGATATCCATGAGTTTTGAGTTTTATCACTATGAGTAAATTTATTTTCACTAGGGGTGTAAATCTCTGACCTTATAACTATTCAATTACATCATGATTCTTTGGGAAATTATACATCATGAATCTCAAATTACCACAATTATTTTTTTTGTGACTGAATAGGTCATTCTACAGAAACGTCCATTTTGTGTCCCTGGCATTTTCAGATATATTACATTGAAAATCATGTTAGGGTCACAATTTATTTATATTTTAAAGTAAAACAGTAAGTAATTATACCTTTTACTTACTGAGCCAACAATTTAGCAATATTGTTTTTTAAATCAATTATGTATAAAATTCCAGGCATCACAGAAGTGCTCGTCCTCACAGTCATGTGTAAAGGGTGAGTGACATATTTTGAGGTAAAAAAAACGTTTTTCTGCAATTTTAAATGCAATAATCTATACATGACTATGAAATATATGATTTAAATGACATAAAGGAAACAAATGCTAAATAAATATTATAAATATATAATGAAAGTTGTGGTCCCCAGGAGTCGTGTCACTGGTGTTACTGCGCAACAAAAAAATCTCTTATTTTGAACTAAAAATCACACTGATGACATCACTCGACTTCCTTTTACCTATTTTCTGAATAGGACTGAAAAGCACATGGTAAGTCCACTGTGTCTTTCAGTTATCAGGGATTTTCTCATTCAGCTCATGATTTCATATGAAGCTTTTAGCTGAAGTCACTGGTGCGACCTACTTTATTCTTAGGTAATTGTGAAAAAACAGAACACAAATGGAGTAAATGACAAATCTTAGTGGATATTTCATGATTGACAACATGTGGCTTGATGCTCTGTAGCAGCCATTTTGTAAAATGCATTTTGCATTAAAAATGTCTCTGGTGTTACCTTTCTTATGTGTAACACCAATGACGATCAGTAACACCAGTGACTCCTATGGATAGATAAAAAGTAGACGTTTCTGTAGAATGACCCAGATAATTGTGCTTGTTTTAAAAAATGTGCTTGAAACCAGCAAAATGATCTGCCAGTATAGTGAGATAATTTTACTTAATATAATGACCTGAAACAAGTGAAAAAATTCTGGAAATAAGCTAAATAATCCCATAATCAACGCACAACCATCTCAAAATGGGAAATGTATGATATGTTATCTAGATTTAAGATCATTTCACTGGACAAGATACCATTTTTCACAGTGTAAAGCAAGCTTTGTTGATGGAAAAGCCATAAGTGAATAGCTAAATGCACCACTGTTCCATTATGGATGATTCCATATATCTCTAAAGTGGATGCTGGAATATACACGCAACCCAACCCTGAGAGCGAAACTCTAAACCGCAAACATCTCTGCGTCTAAGCAGCAGACGAGGCATTTAACAGAATGCATCGACACTGTAAGTGGTCTGATCGAATGAAAGCAAAGAGAGAGAGAGAGAATGGCTTACTTGGCCCATCCAGAGGGCACTGAAAACAAAACCAAGCCTCACTGGACAAGGACAACCCAACAGCGAGAGGAGAGGACCAACACAGCAAGACAGAAGGGGCAGGGGTGCAAACAGCAGTCCACACGGTCAGACAGGCCAACTTGCAAAGAGCCACACGCACAAAAACCAGACTGACCACAGGCAACTTTCAAGAAAAATAAATAAATAAATTCGTAAAACAGCAGATAAACATTACACTGCACGCCTGGTGCAATGTGTGTATGGGGGTGTGCTGTGTTCTGAGACGAGTATTTGTGTGTGTGTGTCTTTGTGCTGTGTCAGCTGTTGTGAGTGTGAGATGTGTGTGTATGTAGGTGTGCGCATGTGTGTTTCTGTGTTGAAAGTGTGCATGTATTTGTTTTGACACATTTTCAGGACAAAAATGTCCTGACCACGCAGGAAAACTAGAGAAAAACCAGGCTCTGATCCTGACAGGGAAAAACTATGCTTCATTTTAAATGAGCAAAAACATTTTTAAAAAGGTTAAGGTTTAAGGTTACACACAAAAATGAGTTAAAAATGAAAAATTTTAATTACATATAGACGTACAGTACTGTGAAAAAGTCCTAGGCACCTGAGCAAATAGTTCAAAACCATTTATCTGGGTGATATGTGTGTTATTGTGTGTTGTAGTTGTGCTTGTTAGAAGAACACAGGTTTGGTTCCACGTTTCTCCTCAATGACCCCAAACATTGCATGGATCTGTCCAAATCCACCAGCAGAACTTCTGATTTAACTGAAATAAGTATTGTGAAGTTTTGGATAAATTTTGGATAATTACACTTAATACTGGGCTTCTGTGAGGACAGGTCTGGAAATGGTTAACCCTTTCATGCATAATTTCCTTTAGTCCGAATTTTGATTTTTTCTTTTCTAAATACTTTAGATACTTTATTAATGAAGTATTGGAACAGTTCACACATGAGGACACCATGTATGAAACACATAAAATCACTAATTATTGTATTAACATTATTTGTAATAATGTAATAATTCCAATATTACTTTCATGGCCAAATAAAAAAAATGACTGCCCAGATAAAGCTTTTGAAATCTCATTTTCACGTGTGTAAGACGTTTGCACAGTGCTGTAGATCACATCTCCCATATTCCTATAGTCATATCTATGTAATCATATCTATGTAATATGGGACATACGGATGATCATATGCCCCCTGGCAAGGCTTTAACACAAACGTGTCAGTGTGTGTGTGTGTGTGTGTGTTTATGTTTGATATGTATAAAGTGTGTGTGTGTGTGTGTTATGTCTGACACAGGGAAAGCGGGGGGACTCACTCCCGGGGGCGGCGCTTGCATTGGCAGTGGAGAGAACTACATGAGTGGGGGTAGAAATATTGGTTACGTCATGGAGCTGGCTGAGCACAGACGAGCGCCGTCGCACTGCGCCCTGAAACGAACCACTTCTCTTGAATGTACTCACTACCTCCATCTGCAGGAGAGAGAGAGAACCATATCACACACATCACATTATAGAGAGAAAGGGAGAGAGAGGTGTGAGAGAGAGAGAGAGAGAGTGAGAGAGAGAGAGAGAGAGAGAGAGAGAGGAGAAAGCCAGGGGAAGAATATATTTTATGATAAAACTGTAGCAATTAACAAAAAAATAAATAAAAAAAAAAACAACACAACACAACTTACATTCTCCAACAGTACGATTATCACAACTAAGGACTGGGCTAAGCATCAAAACACACCCTCAGGCCCATTCGGACTCATGCTGGGAATATGTCAGTCAATTCTGCTTTTCAAGTAAACGAGCTAATCCTCTAAAGCTTTGCCATCATTGGATATTGAGCCTAAAAGTCCTAGAAGAAGTGTGCGAACTCTAAAGCAAGCTAAAGAAAAAATGAATAAAGCCTACAGTAATTAAATACTGTAAGATAACAAATGTAAGCAAATCGATATTTAAAATCATACCTATTATGTAATCAAAAATTTTGCTACCTGTGCAAAAAGCATATTTTCACATAGTGTAATATCTTGATAGATGAGTTAGCTCCTTTCTGCCAAACTAAATTCACCTGATTTTTCCCCAGCCCATCCTAAAACTTATTCTGGGTAAGCTTACTCTGCTGAACACTTGCACTTGCATCATTCTCCTGTGAGTTGCAAGCCCCTTTGCCACTAAAACGTGTGAGCAAACCAGCAACACTCTTCTATTTCTACATAAAATGAAATATTAGATAGCTATAGCCTCAGCCACTTTTCAGAGGCACTTTAAAATGCACTATTAGAGTTTCATGGAAATGGACTATTTATCCTACACAGAGCAGTGGAATCAGGAGTAGGATGTTTGGTACATGTTAGCTGCTGTCTCTACATTCATAGAACAAGTCAATGGAAAACATAAACTATAATAATTATGTATTTAACACAAAACAATATTTCACAAATAGCATTTATATATTTTAGAGCCCATGTGTCAAACAGAAGGCCCGCGGTTTAAGTCAGGCCCGTGGTGCACTCCTGTTCAGCCCTCAAAATTATTTTAACATTCTATTAATATTAGCCCATTTCACCACGGGCTGCACTACAGTCCCCAGCATGCACTGCTACATAATGTATGCTCTGACCCCATTCCCTCATCAACAATCAATGGGCCAGCAGTTACACATAAAGAAAAGATGCCTGGTGTCTAGTTCAAGCAAATAGACAGTTGTTGCCAGTACAGTGACCTCCTGGGGACTTTTAAAGACTTTGCTCTTTGTTTTTTAAAGAAATTATTTTTGCTTAAGTAATAGTTTAAGTATTCAGTGCCTCTTTTGCTGTTGTAGTTTTGGCATATTTTGAATAAACAGTGGCCTATGGATTTGTTGAGATTTTTTTAATATGGCCCTTTTAGTGGTTGAATTTGACACCACTGTTCTAGAGGCTTGTAAACATCTATGATCGTAAGTCCGTAGCACCCACTGAAGCCCCATCACAGCTCCAGTGTGTGCGTGCTTTCCACCTTAACAAAACATATGGCATCAACGCATTTTTCTCTTTCAGTTTCCTTAATTTTGGCAACAACTCTGTCAATGTAAACATTTCACTCTGAAAATCAAGAACATATTTAGATTAAAGTCCATTCAGAGCATCATGGCTCATCATGGAGTGGAGAGAAACACAGATGGATGGTTTAACTTTATGCTATACACGTGGACTGCAACAATTTACACAAGTAGCCAAAATTACACTAAAAAACTCGGAATGTGTGTGGATTAATCTGTGGGTCATCATCTGTGTCCGAAGCATGCTGATGACGGGTGGGCCCGCACACTTTGGTGGAGCCACTGTTAAATGAAAGCCTTGATCAAATTCAACTGACTGATGATATGAGGCTAGCTGCTGTAATGCGTGTTCTGTTTTGCCAACTCAGTGGCGAGCCTCGAGGGGATCGATGGAAACCTTGTAAGGAGCTCTGCTAGCACTTCAGCAATCTGCGCCTGCCACACCCACGCTAAACCCTTCATCACACAGCTTCATTCCATCCAGTTAGCTCACTGTGGGCCTGAGTGCCACTGTGTGTGTACATTAGCAAGTTTGTGTGTGTGAAAGATTCTTTGCTCTTTGAAGCTGGGGCTGTAGGATGAGTATTGACAGTGTGCTAGAGCAGCGCACAGACTTCTCCTCCTGCCTTGCTGCAAACATTCTTTAAAGCCACTGAAATGACAAGGCAGAAAGCTGCAGTCCACTCGTCTCAGAGCTGCGGTCTACACATCCTCCCAAACGGCCTCTTAAACAATGTAGAAAAGCATTTTTTTTCAGAGTCGAAATGCAGTACATTTTTGATTTTCTTTCTGTTTTTAAATGCAAAAAATATGCATGAGATTGCGGTAAATTCACAATTCCACAATTGGTAAACTGTATGTTGAAAACTGCCTACTTATGAAACTCATACATAAAAACATACCATATATAGAATAAACGTTTTTCTCAGTTTGTCACAATGGTTTAAGTAGGCCTACTGAAACTGTGCATACAATAATCCAAATAACCATAAATGTAAGGATCTTCACTGTAATTTATAGAGATCTACTGGTGTTAGGGCTGCTCCTAACAATGACTTAGTAGTGGATTCATTTATAAATTATTTTATTAATGAATTGATTAATCTGAATGAAACATTTCCAAAACGCTGTATGAAATGTTGTCTTTAAAACAGCACAAGGAACCACTTTTACTGTGGGAGGACCTGCTAAACAGATAAAGCCATGCTCTTTCCAAGTGAAACACAAAGGTGGGCTTAAATGATTTTGCTGTTGCTGTTACATCAAAGTTCTTAAACACACTAAAAAGACAGTTTAACTCTTGTGTGGTGTTGATGTTGTTACTCAGTGGTCTGTTGAACCCACCACATTATTGTTTTTTTTTAAATCAATACAGCCAGAACAATTTATGTAAAAATACCCGATGTTTAAAATATCACAAGTGTCCAGTGTAGAGTTCTCCTTTAGCAGCTGTAGCCAGTCAGCAGCCTGTCCACGTTGTCCACCCTCACACACACACACACACACACACACATATACAAACACATACACACACACAGACAAACACACACTAACAGCAGGCCATGTAAGAGGAGAACAGAGTGAAGGACACAGCACCTCCACACCTTTATTCTCCATGGGTTCACCCCAACACCACATGTGTAATATAAATGTGTAGGGGGTGAACAGTGTGAAGAAACTGAATATTTTGTGTTCTTTACAGAAAATGTGCAAAGACCAAGGAATCTGAGGTTGAAATAGTAATAAATTGCATCATTTTTTCTTTTGGTAAACATTGAAAATGCATCCCTCAGACCCCAACACCACACAAGAGTTAAAATAGCCCAGCCTAATAGCTTAATAATAAAAAGAAAAGGAAAAAGAAATAGTACAATAACAATAGCTTATAGGGAAATTTCACATCATGAGCTGTTAGCTTTATTACTACTACTAAACCAAAGCCAAACATTAGCCTGGGCAGACGTATGAGCATGACTATTTTCTCCAGTTTAAGCAGGCTTCTTTGTTGTGTTACCAGTTTACCAGCCATGCTGAAAATGAATCATAGGAGAAAAGTGTATCGATTGAGAAGCTTGTTAGCCTGCAAGGCAGGATTAGGAGCAGCCTGTAAATATTTGCAGCACCTCTCTCCTACGTGCACGGCAAAATGTGCCAAGTACTTTCAAAAACTTTGTGTGCAATAGCCAGTCAGTGACTGTGCTTAACATCTTGCACATGTATATTAATGGGTTGGTGTGAGAAAAGTCATGATTAATACAATTTTTTGCACTATATAGAATGTTTAGGGACCACGACTATGCAAATTAACATATTTACAGCACTGACGTAGTTGATGACACTGGTGAATTACAGCAGCCCTAGCTGATATTTACAACCACATTTCCAAAAAAGTTGGGATGCTGTGCAAAATGTAAATGAAAACAAAATGCAATGACGTGCAAATAATTTAAACCCTATATTTATTTGAAAATAGTACAAAGACAACATATCAAATGCTAAAGCTGAGAAATTTTATTGTTTTTTGAAAAATATATGCCCATTTTGAATTTGATGGCAGCAACATGTTCCAAAAAAGTTGGGATGGGGGCATGATTACCACTGTGTTTCATCACTTGTTCTTTTAACAACACTCTGTAAGCATTCAGGAACTGAGGACACCATTTGCCTGGTGTTTTGAAAGTGAAATATGAAAATGAAACCACAGAACACTTTTCCACTTCGCCTCAGTCCATCTCAGATGAGCTCAGGCCCAGAGAAGGCGCCAGCGTTTCTGGATCCTGTTTATATATGGTTTCTTCTTTGCATAGCAGAGTTTTAACTTGCATTTGTAGATGCAGTGATAAACTGTGTACACAGACAGTGTTTTTCAGGAGTGTTTTTGAGCCCATGCAGTGACTTCCACTACAGAATCATGTCTCTATTGAATCCTGCGCCACCTGAGGACCCAAAGATCTTGGCTAGCCAATATAGGTTTTCGGCCTTGTCCCTTGCATACAGAGATTTCTCCGGATTGTCTAAATCTTTTCATAATATTATGTACTGTAGATGATGAAATTCCCAAGTTCTTTGCTATTTTACGTTGAGAAACATTATTCTTGAATTGTTGCACTATTTGCCCACACAGTCTTTCACAGAGTGGTCAACCCCTCCCCATCTTTACTTCTGAAAGCGATGTTCTTTTTCTACCCAGTGATGTTACTTACCTGTTGCCAATTAACATTAAGGTGTGTATTTTTAGCAATACACAACTTTACCAGTCTTTTGTTGCCCCTGTCCCAACTTTTTTGGAATGTGTTGCTGGCATCAAATTCAAAACGGGCATATATTTTTCAAAAAACAATAAAGTTTCTCAATTTTAGCATTTGATATTTTGTCTTTGTACTATTTTCAAATAAATATTGGGTTTAAATGATTTGCACCTCATTGCATTTTGTTTTTATTTACATTTTGCACAACGTCCCAACGTTTTTGGAAATGGGGTTGTAAGACCATAGCTGTTTTTTACAGTATAATCTAGATTTCATCCAGATCTGCAGTCTGTAACATGCAGTTCTCTACTCTTCACTTTAAATATGGACCCCAACTAACAATTTTATACCTCCTTACACAACCTCACACACAGGCAAGACCCTGCTATCAATGCACATACATCACATGTCCCCTTGTACTGTCTGAAGGAGGAGAAAAAGAGTTCAGCTGTACTCAACTGTCTCTTTCCTAACAGCTCTATTACTGTTTCAGTAGATATGGGGAATGGAAAGGCACTGCTCCGGCTCCAGCAGAGAGAGCACATTCAATAACACATTCACAGTCCTGCAGATCTATACACAGCTATTCCACAAAAATAACTTGGATTTGCAGTGACATTAATTAGGCACTGGTCAATTTTGGCACATTCAAATAGGGGACTAGCCTTAAAGGGGATTTACCCATTTAAAAAGAAATAAAACATTAAATAGGTTTGGCAGTAGAAGAGAGTGGACATTATAAAAGCTGGAGAATCAGAAAAAGAATGAAGTGAAATTAAGATTGAGAAAGAAAATCTACAATCCAAACAGCGTGGAAATCAAAAAAGGAATAAAAGAGTGAGAGCCCTTATGATGAAGAGAGAATAGCAAGCAGAGAGAAGAGAGAGGGACTAAAAAAAAGAACCTGTTATACAACATAATGTCTAAGGAGGTAATTAAATAACATCAGTAACCAAGACAATCAAATACTCAAAACAGCATCAACTCTAAAATGACAGTCTCAATTATTCTCCACACGGTTATTCAAAAATGTTCCAAAAAAAGTGCAGGTGAGAACACACAGTGCTGGGCAAAAGTCAGAGATCAACTTTTCAGTTACTTCATTTGCACTCAGAAACAGCCATTAAGTACAAGCTATTCTTTTTTTCAGTGTCAGGAAACAATCAGAAAATCCACAGAAAAATCCACACAAGCCTCAATTAAACATAATATCAAACTTTTCAGTATTTAGTGTGTCCACTCTCTGCCTTTGCCCTTCCTCGGTAGCAGCGTTTGAGAGCTACCCATAGTGTTGAGCTTCTGACAGTGAAGGATGGAAAAAAACGACTGTGGATTTTTTTTCAGATCAAAAGGAAGAAGAGAAAATTTCTCTTATCTTGCAAAGACAAAAGCTTTAATGGTGACAGTTTAGGTGGTCTACCAGGTCTTGCGTGGTTGTTAGGAGTCCAGTTTTCTTCATATCTTCACCCTTCCTTATCACCTTTATCTCCTTTAGCCACTTTAGATGCACATGGGAGAGACATCTGTGAGACAGCTGAGGTACTTTTGAGTAGTTGTTTGTCTGAATGTTAGTGTCTCTTTAAAGGGGAACATCATTTCAGTGACACTTTTGGGAACATTTTGTAAGAAGACAGCTGTAACTTGCTTTAAAGTGGCAGTAAAGTAAAGAGTGGACAAATCAAATACTGATCAACCTGATATTATACTTACTGTTGGATGCTTTGTGTAATTCTCTGTTAAACGGTTGCCTGTTTTGCCCTGACAAACAAAAATATTGCTGCTGTCGGAACAAAACCTCATATCTCCATTTTGGTTATTTTTCAAAAGAAACCATCCAAAATGACTGAAAAAATTCTGGTTCCATTGACTTGCATTAAAAGTAAAGCATGTTTTTTCCTTCTCCTGTAAAGTTACCATTCTGGAGATACAAGGTTTTGTTCAACAACAGCGATACGTAATTTGTACTTAGTGGCCGATTTTACTAGAAAATTAAATAAATGAAAGGGAGGTCTCTGACTTTTGCACAGCATTGTACAGCATTCAAAATTTAGAGATAAAAAGCACTTATGGTCCAGATTAGGCAGAGCAGTAGTAGACGTCCCACAGACCTCCACTGGACAAATCCTGCAGCTCAGAGGCGAAGGAGAAACTGAGCAATAAATCAGGCCACTAAAGGACTCCAGTTACATAATGGAGAAGCAAAGCAGCTCTGAGCAGGGTAGGAGTTTTATAGATCCCTGTCAGAGAAATCTATACTCATTTAGTGAAGGACCCCAAAAGCAGAGACCACAGCCAGGGAGAGAAAGAGAGAATGAGAGAGAGAGAGAGAGAGAGAGAGAGAGAGAGAGAAGAAGAGGAAGAGAGAGATACAAAAGTAATGACAAGCTGATGTTTGGTGACTCTCAAGGAGGGTCTGGAGGGAAAGTAGAGAGAGAAAGAGGAGAGAAGGGGAGAGAGATAAAGAGAAAGAATGAAAGAGTGAGAGACAGGCAAAGGTGAAGCAAATCAAAACAGCGTTCTTTATCTCACTGTCTGTGAAAGTCAGCACAACTAAAACTACTAGCACTACTTCTACCAGTGGGGTCGAGGGGTCAGAGGTCACACACACAGCACCTGAGTCTGGATGCGGTTGAGGCCTCTAAACCAGAGGATCTGGCCCCTGCGGAGCTCTCTCTCAGCATGGTCTATCTCTTCTTCGTCCTCAGCCAGCTCGTCCTCCGTCATCTCGTCGGTGCCTGGCCCTGTGCCCGCCTCCTTCAGACACTTAAGGTGACTGGTGGGCACTGTAGCGATGACCTGGAGCACAGAGCAAGACGCTGAGGAACGATACATATACAGGGTGGATGACTGCATTTTTGGTGAGTAAGTGTGTATGTATGTATGAATATATACACATAAGCGCCTGATTTTGTGTGGAATTGCAGCAGCAAAGTGTGTTTGAGTTGGGGGCTGGGGTCCAAGGGAGTTACTGTTGTGATAACACTAATACTATTGGCGTCACTTTGTGCTGAAAAGTGCCGGAACAAGGGCAGGGTGGGGAAAAGAGAAATTCTTAAACCATCATAATTGCAATACTGTTACATACAGAGTTACACGTGTAGTAATTACAATCACAATTTTGCATTTCTTACTATTTATTCTTTATTGGAGGGCTGTTCTATGTTTCCTAAACAGCAAGCATATATCGGTCCACTGGCTTGATAAGGTCAGCACCCCACGGACTGTTTGCCACTGCTGGTCCGCCCTCGGACCACCCAGATTATTGTCCTGCATTCAAGCTCTAACTAGTTTTTAATCTCCTCAAACAGATTTTAAATGCTCAGAAAGACTAGTCCTAATGTAAAATGAGTTTATAGAAAATGTTGCTGACATTGTGCTAGATTAAAATTATGTACTCAACTAATTTACCAAGTATAACTAAAGAAAGGAAGGAAGGAAAAATAAGTAAATTGGACTGTGAGTGGAAAATGAGTGAAGATAAGTAGAATTTTGTTTATTATTTTGCTTAACCACCAGTGGGCCGCCCATAAAACGCTGAGCAAAACGCCAGTGGACCACCAGCTTTGCCATCACTGAGCCAACAGTGGTCCACTATCCTCTTGCTATCAGGGTTATTCCTAATCCCTAATCTACTAGGGCTGTTCAGTTCCAGAAAATCGACTCCCAGTACGAATCCAAGAGATGGGAATCAGTAGAGTCGATTCCATAAGATGATTCCACACTATTTCCATTCGAAAAAAACAACACATAGAGAAGCTCGATGTATTTTACATACAAGCTATCTGCCTTTCTGTTTCCGGATTGCTGAGGAGTCTGTACGTATTACTGATGATGCTTGTTAGAAATGGCTGTAATGATGGCTTAAGATGATAAAACAATCACAGCCTTAGGTAAAAAGCTAGTGGTGAACATTTTCCACAATGCATCTGATTAGTTACTGCACTTCAGAGATGGAGTTAACATCTCACTTAAATTCTGATCTAATGTTACCTACCTGGGGTTACAACGTTGGTGGTGTTTTAATCACACCAGCTGATGCTAATGCTACATGCGGTTAGTTGAGCCGGTATATATTATCAAATATTATATTTCTTTAGTTGTTATTCTTCCATTTTTTTTCCTACAACAGTTTGAAACACTTACACTCTGTGTTATTATACATCTGATAAATTAACAGGGCTGAGAATCAACTCAAGCTCATAATTTATCATACCTCCCAACATGAACGTCATTTTAGCTAAGTTATCCTATCCGAGTTCAATACTGAGGTAACTCAGTAAACTGCTAATGCTACATGCTAATGCTAACACACACTTAAGTTAGCTTGCTAGCTGTTAACAACTAAAGTTATGTTAGCAGCTAATTTACAACATCAAAATAACAAACAAACAAACTAAAACACAGCAGCTCACCATCCGTTTTAACATGGAGCATTAGCAGTTTACTGAGTTACCTCAGTATTGAACTCAGATAGGATAACTTCAGCTAAACTGACGTTCATGTTGGGAGGTATGATAAATTATGAGCTTGAGTTGATTCTCAGCCCTGTTAATTTATCAGATGTATAATAACACAGAGTGTAAGTGTTTCAAACTGTTGTAGGAAAAAAAATGGAAGAATAACAACTAAAAAATATAATATTTGATTATATACCGGCTCAACTAACCGCTGAACTCGGGCTCATGCTGAACCGCTAGGTTTCTGTTAAATTTTGAATTTGAGGGCGTGTGCACAGTACACTGATTAGGAAATCAAGCAAAGCTAAATCGGCTGGATCATGTAGCTCAACTCACTATTACGATTTATATGCTTCTTTCCTCCACCTAAAGATTTTTAGTTTAAAACATCCCAGAATTACCTAAAATTATCTACATAATATGAAAGAATAACTGTAACGATGTTCAGACATCAGAGACGTTCAAAGATATCTACTGAATTTAGCATGCTAAACAGCTAGCCCATCCTGTCTTGTAATGCCACTTTGTACCACAGGAGGCAATAGTGAGTCACTGTAGTGTCAAGTAAATGCAACGATGGCTTGGCAAGCGACCATTATTACCACCGCCGCCCGCTCCTGGCAAGAAATGAAGTTTGGCAGCAAAGAAAAGAAGTGAAATAAACATAAGCAAAACAAGAGTTAACCTTAACATTGCTTTCCACCACGGAAGGAAGGAAAAATAAGTAAATTGGACTGTGAGTGGAAAATGAGTGAAGATAAGTAGAATTTTGTTTATTATTTTGCTTAACCACCAGTGGGCCGCCCATAAAACGCTGAGCAAAACGCCAGTGGACCACCAGCTTTGCCATCACTGAGCCAACAGTGGTCCACTATCCTCTTGCTATCAGGGTTATTCCTAATCCCTAATCTACTAGGGCTGTTCAGTTCCAGAAAATCGACTCCCAGTACGAATCCAAGAGATGGGAATCAGTAGAGTCGATTCCATAAGATGATTCCACACTATTTCCATTCGAAAAAAACAACACATAGAGAAGCTCGATGTATTTTACATACAAGCTATCTGCCTTTCTGTTTCCGGATTGCTGAGGAGTCTGTACGTATTACTGATGATGCTTGTTAGAAATGGCTGTAATGATGGCTTAAGATGATAAAACAATCACAGCCTTAGGTAAAAAGCTAGTGGTGAACATTTTCCACAATGCATCTGATTAGTTACTGCACTTCAGAGATGGAGTTAACATCTCACTTAAATTCTGATCTAATGTTACCTACCTGGGGTTACAACGTTGGTGGTGTTTTAATCACACCAGCTGATGCTAATGCTACATGCGGTTAGTTGAGCCGGTATATATTATCAAATATTATATTTCTTTAGTTGTTATTCTTCCATTTTTTTTCCTACAACAGTTTTGAAACACTTACACTCTGTGTTATTATACATCTGATAAATTAACAGGGCTGAGAATCAACTCAAGCTCATAATTTATCATACCTCCCAACATGAACGTCATTTTAGCTAAGTTATCCTATCCGAGTTCAATACTGAGGTAACTCAGTAAACTGCTAATGCTACATGCTAATGCTAACACACACTTAAGTTAGCTTGCTAGCTGTTAACAACTAAAGTTATGTTAGCAGCTAATTTACAACATCAAAATAACAAACAAACAAACTAAAACACAGCAGCTCACCATCCGTTTTAACATGGAGCATTAGCAGTTTACTGAGTTACCTCAGTATTGAACTCAGATAGGATAACTTCAGCTAAACTGACGTTCATGTTGGGAGGTATGATAAATTATGAGCTTGAGTTGATTCTCAGCCCTGTTAATTTATCAGATGTATAATAACACAGAGTGTAAGTGTTTCAAACTGTTGTAGGAAAAAAAATGGAAGAATAACAACTAAAAAATATAATATTTGATTATATACCGGCTCAACTAACCGCTGAACTCGGGCTCATGCTGAACCGCTAGGTTTCTGTTAAATTTTGAATTTGAGGGCGTGTGCACAGTACACTGATTAGGAAATCAAGCAAAGCTAAATCGGCTGGATCATGTAGCTCAACTCACTATTACGATTTATATGCTTCTTTCCTCCACCTAAAGATTTTTAGTTTAAAACATCCCAGAATTACCTAAAATTATCTACATAATATGAAAGAATAACTGTAACGATGTTCAGACATCAGAGACGTTCAAAGATATCTACTGAATTTAGCATGCTAAACAGCTAGCCCATCCTGTCTTGTAATGCCACTTTGTACCACAGGAGGCAATAGTGAGTCACTGTAGTGTCAAGTAAATGCAACGATGGCTTGGCAAGCGACCATTATTACCACCGCCGCCCGCTCCTGGCAAGAAATGAAGTTTGGCAGCAAAGAAAAGAAGTGAAATAAACATAAGCAAAACAAGAGTTAACCTTAACATTGCTTTCCACCACTGGAGACAAGCTTGTGGCGGGTAAAGGGATGAAGTTTGATGCTGAACATTTCTTCTAGACTGGTAATTAAAAAGTGATAGAAATTTAGTGAGGAGTGAAAAAGGAGGAAGAGGGACAATGCATTTCCTTGTTTCTAACAATAGGGGGGACACTACAGCTTTCTGATTATATGTTGCCCCCTATTTTTTTTGAGTATGGAGTTTTAATTTACATATTGCTCCGGCAGTTTTGTTTCAGTGCAGGCTGAAAAATGACAAAATAAAATATTGATACTTAGTTACTTAAATTAAAAGCCACATTTCTGTTTAAAGTAAACAGAAAAATAAAAGATAAAAATGAGGGTCAATGAGCTCCACTGTTCAGGCGCCTATGTGTATATATTGTTTGTAATAGTGAAGTAATAGTGAAAAGTTTGAACACACGTAAGTTTTTATAATCCTAAATACATTATTTGAGGGGTAAAAGTGCCTAAATATTAAGGCAAGCTAATACTTAAATTCCTGTCTATGTAGATATATGATCTATTTATTTCCAAAACAAATACATAAATAAATACATGAAATTTACAGTTCCTTATAAAATCCTGTTTACTTCCTGATTACTGTCCTGTGTTTTAGCCCATTGATGGTCATGGTAAAGTGGGTCTAAAAGCCCTTTCTTGTAGAAGGATTCCTGATTGTAGTCGTGCTATGTTTTTTTTTTAATATCCTTTTTTAATATCCTCGTTATTTTTCTAAAATGCAGAAAAGTGAAAAACCCTTCATGAGCACGTGTCCAAACTTTTGACTATTATGTATTGGTTGATTAAAAACTTGATCGAAAATCATTTTCAGTGGCATGAACCATACTTCCTATTCCATTCTTAACTCATCCACTCTTCACCATTTCTCTCTCATTCACTCGTTCTCTCGATCGCTCTCTCTCCCACCTGGCCCCATAGGAGCTCTCCCACTCCCACAAAGAGGCACCACAGCCACTGCTCCACGTTGAGAGGGGCGCAGCTGAAGGGCTTTCCCCCGAACTGCACTATCACGATCTGCACAGTGGACACACACGACACGAGTCACACATCACGGAGCACAGCGAGACATCCACTTACTCCTCACTGCCTGTATCTCTCGCCCTGCTGGGAGACGGTATCGCAGTCTAGACTCACTCAGACAACCATTCTTAATTTCCTAATTATGCTCAGCAGGGATGGAGGAGTTATTCCAATATACAGATACCCAAACGTACTTAATCAGATAGTTGAATAAAACGTACAGTTGGGAATAAAAATTTAATTGAATGTGTAATATAGAATTACAGAGATTGTTGAAGCGCAAAATAACAAACCTCTACGCAGAACTACACATAGAAATATTTCAAGCAAGAAGATGACACCTGTCATTTTGTAGGTTAACTGTCGGGCACATATGCCTAAAACACAAAGATAAGTCTCTAAACCAGTCTGCAAAAGCAGGTACAGAGCACCTCTCATGGTAGCTTCACACAATAAAACCTTTATTATGTTAAACCTTTCTCATTTTGCTTTTTATTACAAAAAATCTATATTCAAATACTGTTTGTTTAAAAATGTGGATATTCAAATAGCAAACATGGTTAAAGTGCCTGCCGCTAGTTCTCTAAGCAGTGTGCAGGGTGGACAGTGTACGACCTGAACTCCGAAAGTGCCCAGCACGATGCTGCAGAAGATGGGGTTGGAAAAGATTCCGTCAAAGACGTTCCGCTCTCCATGGATCTTGCGGGCGTTGATCTCGTTGAACAGTTGCATGAGGACGAAGGTGTTGAAGATGATGGTGTAGTGCTCGGAGGGAGGTGAGTGCAGTGGAGCATTGCGGCCGCTGTCGATGTTAAAGATCTTCTCTCCTGAGCAGCGTAGAACAGACAGAGGAGAAGGAGGTCAGAACCAGGACACACAAGTTTGGCCACAGACCATAAACTAAAAACGAGAGTCATGACAAAAGATCTAAATGTAATCAGTCAAGACTAAGGCCCAATCCCATTTCACCCCTTGCTCCTACCACTTAGCCCTTAGCCCTTCATTTTAAGGATTCTTGCCTAGAGGTAGGGTGTCCTGATTTTCGTTGAGATAGAGGGGGGGTGCGACATGGCCCTCCAACCAAAGGTTTTTCAGAGGCTCCAAACACAGTGTTATGAGAAAAAAGAAAAAACAGCAATTTCCGTTAAAAATTACGATAACCATCGTACTTTGTTTGTTTCTTAGTAATGTCGTAATGTATTATGGTCCTTTTCTTCATAACAAGCACAAAAATCACGAAAAGTATGCTAATATCTTGGTAGCTAGCTAAATTTCCCGTTCCACCTTAAATAGTTCAGCAGTACTGATGCCTGAAGCGCCCGAATGTAACTGCTGCTCCATTTAAGGTGTACCAGGAAAAGTCGGAACAAGAATCTGGCCAAGAAGCTGGTGAATATCTGACTTCAGCTTCATATCACTGAAGAATTAGGGGTGGGTGATAATAAATAATTGTCCCCCCTCTTTAAAGGCATGTGATTCCCTAAATGTAACTAAAGCCCAGCAGTGAGGAGCTGAATTTTACCCTCCTCTGCTATCACTGCAGACTATCAGGGTCATCTACAGAGCAGCGCTAGAGGCCTGTTAATGAAGTAATGTTCTTTTTTTTGAGGTTCCCATTTCATAGTGGAAGATTTCAACCACTATCCTTGTAACTCAGTTCCAAGGGGCAATGTGACACTCAAAAACAAGGGGTAGGGGTAAAAATAAGAAATGGGATTGGGCCTTATTTGGTGTCTGAACATGCCTAATCCCTAAATCTTAACATACTTCCCACAAACTGTGTTGAGTTGTTAAATAAGCTCAAATAAATTCATTTCTGGCACTCAGTGGCATAACTAGGATCCCCGCCATGAAAATTACTTTCAGTTAAAAAAAATGACAATGTAATTTACTTGATCACATGGTATTGTTATCAAACAAGTCAATGCTCTGAACGCAATCACCTACTAGCACCTGCGTTGACCTAAATATTTACATTAGGATACCTATTAAAGATTTTTAAATCATAAATAATAAAATTATTATGTTACAAGTTGTAAGCATCCAAAGATATTTACAATGGATGAGATGAACTATGAATGAGACATAAAAAGACTGCTGGAAGTTAACTGGTGAGGTATACTCAGAAAGAGGATCCATCTGTGGGTCTTGGGTTTCAATTGTGTGGGGGGCCCAGTAAAGATTTTAGGGGGACCAGTCAACACCATCTCATGTGTCACAGTCCCCCTCCGGCTCCTCCCCCAGTAATTAGGCACAGTAATTAGGTGACACTGTATGACATGCAGGGACTCCCTTTCTTACCGACAAACAGCAGGGTGAAGATGATGACGAGCTGATAGACTCCATGACCCAGGATGTTCTTCATCATCGTAAGGGAGATGAGGGGGTTGTTACGGCCGTAGGGTTTTCTCAGTAACAGGGCTTCAGTGGGCGGCTCAGTGGCCAGGGCAAGAGACGCAAACGTGTCCATAATCAGATTGACCCATAACATCTGCACCGCTTTCAGAGGAGAGTCCTGAATAAACAGACATACACACATTCACATGCAGCTGATGGTAAACCTTATAAATGAAAACAAGAAATGTAGGGAGACCAGATATTCCAAGCTCCACCACAGGACAGAGGGTTTGGAAAGATGGTGGGGGGTCAAACAATTATAACTACATTCAGGGTTGCTGAGGCAAAATGCATTGGTTCTTAAAAAAGACTTTAAAGTGAAAGAGTGGCAAGAGAAGGGCTGGCCTTCTTTTTCTCTGAAACAAAATACAACCGGGTCACTATCTATGATACCTACTGACTAAGTAAACCTTACTTTCAGCTTACTATAATGCAAACTGACATTCAGTAAATTTCCTGCCCCCAAGCTAGTTTTAGAGATTTTAGTCGATTCTGCTACTAAGATTAAGACCTGTCTGTATATTATTTATTTATTTCAAATATGCAATTTAGTGGCCCGAACTTGATCATAAAATGGTGCTTGAAAAGTTTAGGATCAACTGTGAGCTCGCCCCTGTTGTTCCGACAGCCGTGACTAAACTATATTCATATTTTTCATCATTTACAGCTTTTAAACATCAGACTACAATTTCATCCTACATTTTTTAGCTAACATAGCATAGTTAAAATGCTAATTGAACACGTTCAGCAGGTACCTATAAGTACATACAGTATGATTGGCTATATTTTGTACAGTCAGTTCTTATATAAAAAGTTGATCTGGTTGGTGATTGTACTGAGCTACATTTGCCTGCTGTGTGCGTCAGTGTGCACAATGCATATTATAAACGAATGTAAAACAGCATTCTCATCAAAAATACAGGACAGATAAACTGTTTTTAAGAATGAGTCAGAACACATAAAAAGAAGCTGAGATACATTTGAATTATTCATACAGAGTTCAGTGCGCAGTACAACCAGCCTCCAGCAGGGGGCTCAGAGCCCAGGCTAATTGGAGCGTGCCTCTCCCAGTGTCCTCTGCCTGCCAGTAAGGTGCAATGCAGTAAGTTCCCATAACCTGCATAACATGGAGCTAATGCTGAGCTAGAGTGGGCTCTCCACACTACAGGCAGTCTCACGCTGTCATTGTGCTGTTTTCGATGCTTGCAAGATTACAGCCTGAGGGGAATTAAAGTGTGTGTGTGTGTGTGTGTGTGTGTGTGTGTGTGCGTGCATGAGTGTATTACCTGTGTGATACAGGCTCCAGTGAAGGCCACTATGACGGCCACTACATTGACAGTAAGCTGAAACTGCAGGAATTTCGAAATGCTGTCATAGACATTCCGCCCCCACATAACTGCCTTCACAATGCTGGAGAAATTATCATCAGTCAGGATGATGTCGGAGGCCTCTTTAGCTACATCAGTACCAGCTATGCCCTGAGAGGAAGAGAGAGAGAGAGAGAGAGAAAGCAAGACAGAGAGGGGAATTTAAGGGGGAACACTGCAGATTTTTCAGAATTCCTGCTTAATTAAATGGTTAAGATGTAAACCAAGTCATTAGCAGCTGTTTGATGCTCTGTTCAGGAGGAAATTACCAAGTCAGAACTGTTCACAAGGGTGGTGAGAGCAACCAGACATCTGGAGAGTTTAGTGCTTCTAAAAGTTATTTTATTAAACGGATAGTTCCGCTCCTACAATCTGATTGGCTGAGCCGTGTTTGAAGCCGTTGTAAAGACCACGATATACCACAGCTATGACCGCCTCACAACAACTGAACTCTGTCACTGCACCACGGCACGAAAAAAACTTTGTGCTATTAATGTATTAATCTTTGACTCTGACACTGATCGCATGGAACACCGAGTGTACTGAAGAAGTAAGAACCCGTTTTTGTTTAAACTGAGGGGCTGAAAACTTCTTTTCTTACTAGAACTAGGCTGGTCAGCTAGCCAACAGGCTAAAAGATGGCAAACATTAATATCACAGGCTTGAATTAAAGTACGATATGATTCAGTGAAAAATGGCAATATAAAAGTCTAAAGAATGTCACCTGAATGGATCACACGCTTCAAATGTCCAGCTTCAGTCAGAAGTACTAAACCCCAGCTGAATCCCAAACGGCTCCGTACTCCCTAAATATTGTGCTGTGTAACATTAGGTTTAGAAATTCTAGCTTCTGCTGTAAAATCATGCACTGCTTGTCGAGTATGAATGTGGATGAATCCCAAATGACCATTTTTAGCGATATTTTGCATTGTTGGGCTGCAGGGGGCAGTATTTAAATTCATACGTAACCTAATGCACTATGTAGGGAGCAGGGAGCTGTTTGAGATTCAGCCCCAGCGTGAGAAAAGTGGCGTTGTCTGACTGGCAGAAGACTCGCGGTGGTAATTTGGTGACCAAAACTAGTACTTCTAAACCTAAAGCATTTGCATTAAACAGTGCTGTGTTACATGTGTTCACTGTTATATGAAAAAAGGTGTAAAAATAATGAAATGTCTGCAGTTTACAGTGATTGTGATTTCTTCTCCTCATTCAGCGGTCAATGGTTGCTTAGCAACGATACCATACTCGAAAGGAACTACATTTCTTGGCGGAACCCTTTTTTATGTCGATTATCATTAATAATAACTTAAATAATTATCTAAAACATTGTGTATTTTAATACATTTTATGTTGGCCACTGTTTTATAAAAGCAATAAGCCACTCGAGGCTGTGCATTACTGCAATTTTAGCACAAGGAAGGGAGGTTTAGGCTCTCCACTTCACGTTGTGCCAAAGAACACCCTTCCTGTGATAACATCACAGTAACCCATGGCCTCTAGTGGCTTATTGCTTTAATATGAAATGGTTATAAATACACTGCCTGATACCTGAGACTTTTTTACAGTGGATTTGAGATAAGATTTTGGCCTAAAACATATTTCGTAAACACATTCCTGGCAGAGAGGCATATGCAGGGTGTTATAAGGCTAAACAGTCCGCAAAGAAAAAACATTTCAGGTTTACAACCACTATACCATTTTCAACAGTACATACAAAAAAGTAGACACATTTAGGTTCACTGATAATACTGCACAGTAAATAAAATGGCTATATTTGTGCTGTTGACATTGTGACCCCTGGTTCCTATCAGCACCACTGTAAAAAAATTGGTGAAGAGTCTGTAAGTTTCTCTACAATTAACAACTTCACACCACACCATTCGCATGGCTTTGTTTACATCTCAATGATTGAATTGTGCTAAAAATACAGTGAGATTCCCCTTTAAGGTAATACTAGTGTCATTAAGCAATGTACTATACCAATTCCTGCAAGTTGGACAAATTTGGAGATGCCCTAACTGATAAGCAGCATATTCATAAACACTACTACTGTTCCATTCATCATCTGATGCAAATAAAACACAGCCACTACAAGGTTTTCATAAACACTAGCCAAAGAATGTAAAGTTTAGAGTTATGAAACACGTCCTAACACAATGCTTACATAATCTGCTTGTAATACACAGTTTACCCTGAAACATTAAAACAATATGAACGATTTATTGGCTATGAAAAAAGGGCATTAAGAGAATGAATGTTGCTTTTCTGCAGTCTTAGGCCAGCTGGGAGATCATTAACGCAGTGCATTGCTACATGTGTTTTCTGTGGTACTTGCCGAGCATAGTCGACTCTATAATAACGTCACACAATAGCTTATAAAGTGGATGGATGAAAACATGGTAGATGGATGGAAAGATGACTGAATGGATAAAAAAAATGAGACTTCCTCACCATGGCAAAGCCCACATCTGCTTTCTTTAGGGCTGGCCCGTCATTGGTACCATCACCCGTGACCGCCACCACCTGCCTCTGCTCCATCACAGTGCTGTCGATGATGCCTGTAGATTATCAGCAAAGATTAACCAAAGTGTGGCTTCTCAAACTGATACACAATGCTTTTCTGTATTCACAGTCCATTCCGTAATGTATTATTAAAGACATAGTTTGGCAAAACAAATCTAATTTACATAATTGTCCCACATGTAGTCAATGAAACAGATAAACACAAAACAAATAAATAAACTGACACAGTTCATGCGTTATGAAAAGTTGGCTGCTACTACAGTATGTCAAACAGTGTAAGTGACCACATTAGCAAGTCTTTATGAGACTACTTAACAACTTAACATGGTTTAAGGCAAGTGTATGATCAGGTCTTGGCTGACTAACAAGGGGTGAGTGGAAAACTGCATAAACACGTTTTTTAGCCAAGCTATTGGGGTACACAACTTTGAGCATGATGAAGATGTTGGTGTTGAAAGTGAATGGAGCAGACGTCTAACCTTTAACCAGAGTGTGTTTGTCTGTGGGTGAGGAACGAGCCAGGACTCTCAGTTTAGGCCAGATCTTATCGATCCTCTCCTGCTCAATCTGAAAAACAGAGACAGTAACAAACAAAACACTTTGTTATTATTACAGTGTCACTGTTTACACCAGTTTGTACTGAGGAATCCATTATGTGTTTTTTCTGAGTGGAAAATTGTGTCAACCAATAAAAGCAGATAAGACAAGGCCACTGGTGTCAGGAGCCTCACGCATCACCTCTCCTTTCTCATTCCTGATTCGTCGGTTGAAATCTTTGCCCTCTAGACACAGGAAATCATCGCCGGGCTGGATGATGCCGCACTTGGCGGCGATGGCGCGGGCTGTGTTGATGTTGTCTCCGGTGACCATGCGCACAGTGATGCCTGCCCTCTGACACTTTCGGATGGCCTCAGGTACCTTTAGTGGGCAAAAAGTGAAAAGATGAACACACTCCAAAAAGGAAACACAGGTGAAGGCAAAAATGTAGGCTTTTGCTTTTAATGTAAGTTAATTTGAAGTATATATATAAAGTAATTTTGGACAATTTCTATTATTAAATATTCACACTGTAAACAACAGCTGCCATGTTTAAATGATGCAGAAAAATAAAAATAAAAATAAAGGTACATGGGCTTTTTTTTGGATGGTGACAATATTTTCCTTGCCACACTGGCCTTCGGCTTGCTAAGGTCTTTTTAATATTTACTAGCCTACATTCTCAACAATTTTGATCACGTACTGATAAAAATAAAACGCCTCACTGGTGGCTAAACTTGTAACATGCTGTTTCTATCTAGCACTTTTATCTATATTTTTAAAGGGTACTTTAGTTAGATGCCACTGCCATGCTTGGCCAGGAGGCTAAGGGAGCACAATTAGCCGCACTCTCTTAGATGGGTAGGGTGGTCCTCTCTGTCCCTCCATCACTCAGTGCAGTTCTATCCAATGCAGCTGTCTGTTAGCTAACGTAACAGAGTTGGCTGTTATTGTTCTGAGCTGTTGAATGATGTGACGTTAGCAGCAGTTTATAAAGATGTGCTGGTTGGTTTCATGTGTCTTGGAGGAAGCGCGTGCTAGACTTCACCCTCCCAGATTTGTAGCACTGTGAGACAGAGGACAACTAACTAACCTTCACTGGCTTCACACTTCACATTAACATGCATTCTGGGTGATCTAATAATAAGTGGACAGCGCAAAGTGCAGGGGGGAAAAGGGTACAATACATCTTAGAGACATATGGTGATCTGATCACTCAAACCACCTTCAGAGGTGGTCAGGGATTCATATGACCACACAACATGTATAGTGTGAACGCTAAAGCATCGCTGACAACAGCAAAGGACAAACATTTGTAACAGCACGTTTATTTACATGAACACGGACTTGCACCACATTTTGACAACAAACACAAAAAGACTTGTGGTAAAGGTGAGTGGCACCCTTTCTTATGTCTCGCTGTCCACTTATGATCAGATCCCTCTTGTTCTCTAACTCAGTACTTTTTTATATAAAGATGCCACCAAATACATTTTTTATAAATTAATAAATTGTTTTTTGGGTAGGTTCAAACAGGGATGACCAGCATGTGACGGGCACCAAAAATGGCCATGTGCATACTTGTGGAGTGCATACCTCAGGCCTCACAGGATCCTCGATGCCCACCACAGCGATGCAGGTGAGGTCAGTAACGATTTCAGCCTCGTTGTCCCAGTCAGGCTCTGGTTCACCAGGCAGGTCACGGTAGGCAATGCAGATGGTTCGCAGACCCTCACATGCCATGGGCTCAATCACCTTCTTCACCATCTCATCCCTGTCCCGCGGCCTGAAGCTCCGCGCCTCACCCCCAGCCCCCAGAATGGACGAACATCTGGAGAAGAGGAACGAGGCATAAGTGCAAGAAGGACAAAGAAGGGACATAAAAGAGAATGACAATAATAAAATCCTTGCACATATTATCAATTATAGATACATATAAACATGTAATATGGATATAAAATGAATATTCCGTGACAGGATGATGGTCAATAATGGTGTTAGGGGTGCGGGAAAAAATCGATTCTTAGATGCATCGCGATGCGGACGTGAACGATTCTGAATCGATTCACAAATTTCAAAAATTGATTTTCTAAATTTAAATTTGTAACGTAATGTTGACGGAACGCAAAAGGCGGAACCTGTAAGTGCGTGAAGTGCAGCTCCCGGACAGTCTGTGACAGCACATAACAAAAACACCACTGGATGAGTGAGAAATCCGACCGGCTCCCTCTGCATTAAAGCCAGGTTAGGTCGGGAGTCACATGGTAATAAGAGACATTTTGTCCTTTCAACAAATATCAAACCATCTTGGGAGCCACAACATTTAATGTTCAGTATGTCTCAGTATGTGATAATGTTCTAGTATAGGCTAAACAATATAAATGAAAATGCAGATTTACTTTGCTCTGCTTTTAGCTTTAGCTGCTTTTCTTCCATCACCGCCAGAAAACTTTTCCTCAAAAGTTTAATAGTTTCTTGTAAAATGTCTCTCAAAGTTCGACTGTTTTACGAGGCTGAAGTCGGTTCTTATTCTCCAGCTTCTTGTTCGAATTTTCCCATTCCACCTTAAATTCTGCCTGAGGTGCCAGAACGCAAACGCAGCACTATTTAAGATGGAACAGGAAAATTCAAAAGAGAAGCGACTTCAGCTGTGCGACTTTTTAGTGTTTGACAGTTTCTTGTTGCAGATTTAATGTACCAGGAAACCAACTGCGCTGCTTATAAATGCGAATAAGTCCATTTGTCTCCAAATGTTCGTCTGTCTTTCTCTTTTCCTTTTTTGTTTGCTACTCGCTCGGCGAAACCTTGTTGCTAGATGACCTGCAGTCTACACGCCAATTCTCAGTCGTTGCGAAACTGGGCTTTCACGCTATGTTGCACACGTCCCGCCTCGAAGATATTTTACTGACACAACGACTCCCCAACTCAACAACAAGACCAAAACCGTGATAAAATCACTAAAGAAAACAGGTAGGACAGCGGTAACGCGCTGCGTGAACATCCACTGCCACTGGATCTTATTTCACCCTAACAGCACATTTTATCGCAGATGAGTAGCAGCAGCTTCTCGTGCTCCAAACAATAGCAGTGAATGAGAGCCTTCTAGTTCACTTACCACATCACTTCCATTTGTTTTATTAATAAAAGATATTGGAAGTAAATTCATTATGGATCATTACAAATACTTTGCTTTAAAACTCCTCAGAGTTTAAGTCCTCAGACAGTAAGAAAATAGAAATCTTGTATAGAGAAAAAAGATGCATCGAGATGCATCGATAATCGTTTTGTAATCACATCGCAGCTCTCTGAATCGTAATCGAATCGAATCGTGAGGTGCCTAGAGATTCCCACCCCTAAATGGTGTGATGAATTCAAACCGGGCTGTATTTGCTTAATGTTCCATATATGGAGTATACAGACTGGGGAAAGACTGGTACGTTTTGAAACGTTTTGTTTATAAGTCATAGAATTTTGTCTTTTAGTCCATTTACTTTTCACAGTTTGTTGGTGGGATATATTTTATTCGGTTTTCCACATTTAATAATGCCAAAACAAAGACACTTAAAAGTGACAACATATTAAGGGTGATAATAATAGCAATATAGCAGAAGCAGACTTACTTCTTCAGCAGGATTTCAGAGGCTCCTTTACTGTAGAGGCGGAAGTTGCCATCCGGCAGTTGCACCACGGTGCTCATGGACTTGCGGACGGAGTTAAAGGTGTAGACCTTATAGAGCTTCTCTTCAGGGATCTGCTCACGGACGGGTGCATAGTCTCTCTTCAGGTCCAGCACAAAACCCAGCAAGCCACACTCCGTCTTGTTCCCCACCTGCTTAGGCAGACCACCTTCAACATCAGGAGGCTGCAGGAAAGGGAGAGGAGGAAAGAGAGATATAATGAGATATGGATGAGGTGAAAATGAACAAAGGAATAAAGCAGCATAAAGATTTATATCCTCTTTATAACAGGGAAAAAATTATTTTACTCTTCATATGAATTAACATAATCTCTCCATGCTATCACTGCACCTGCTTGTAAAAGCTGCAGTATGTAAGATTTGGGGATTTGGAGACGTCTCTGGTGGAAATGTGTAATTGCACGCGGTGTGTGAAAGAATATTTTGTAACACTGGTTGTGCTTCGGACCCCCACGAGCTGATGAATCTGATGATCTGGCAGAGTATTCAAAGTGAACTCAGTCAGAAGTTGGTGAAGAAGCCGTCTTCTGCAGATGTGAGTGAATGATCTTATATCGTCATCATATCTCCATCAGTAAAATTTTGCATTTGAGACTTGCTGGACATGCTGGACCTTCATTTTTGAGCCTGTGTGTGTGATGTTAATATGCATGATGTGTTTTGAAAAAAACTCCCACGAATTTCGACCTGATGCCTCTTTTTTTAAGTAACTATTTCATTCTTTACAGGGTGACTCGCAGCAGCACACGCACACCATATTTTAGTGTAGTCTTCCTCTCCTGACTCACTAATACTACCTTACTTCTTTCAATTTTAACATAAAATTATACAGTTTTAAACAAAAAATAGATAAGGCAATGCTGAAAATTCAGTGGCAGTATTTGATGCATTACTTTTACCACTGTAAGGCCCTTTGATTCACAACTGCTAGAGTGTGGAGTTAATTCTTTAAGGCAAAACAGCTACTGCTGCTGTTTATTCTGCCTTTCTCTGTTCATATGATTCTCTATGCTGTCGTAACACTTATTTGATACGTTAAAAATATGAATATAAATATAAATATAAAGCCAAGAAATGCACCTATTTTTATTTAGTTTGTCTCACCAGTTATGTTTTTGAACAAGCCAACACAAAAATACGTTTGAATAGGTTTTATTGTTAATCTGAATAAACAAACCAATAATAAGGGCTCACTGATCTAAAATTCGCTCGGAAAAAAATCACAATGCTTCTAGCAATAAAGGAGGCTTTTATACGGTGAGCACAAAAAAAGCTCTAACTGTACATGCTGATATGTTGCACTGTGGCCGACGTGGACATGCATGCACCCTAACTCCTCTGGTGGTGGATTTAGTTCAAGAGACAAGTGCAAAATTCTCAGAATGTGTCACTGGGGAGATTCTCAGTCCAAAAGGGTTAGATAGGTGAAGACTTGTTCTTAAAGTGTAGACGTCAGCGTCCACACCACTAGATTCACAATCTGCAAGACTAGCTCTTCTCCCCATTCAAGGTCTCTTGCTTCTAGAAACTGCCAGTCTTGTTTGCAATGAAATCTGAACCTTTTCATCTAAATGTGATCATCATCTTTTATATTTTCGTGGAAATATGCTAAAGACTGTACATAGCCTTTCAAAAATCTGACCATCAGCTAAGTGGAGTACGCCTATTCAAAACCCATTTCAGTCAAGTGGTTGATGGAGAGAGTGCCAATAATATGCTGCAGCAGCAAAATCAGATCCAATTCAATATTTCTAACCCATTTTAGACAGTTTAAGAATGTGCTGTGGACATTTCGGTCTCATATGCAGCTCATCTCCTGCTGTGTCCACTCTTACCATGATCTTGGAGGTGTAGGCGCTGTTGATAGCGATGGCGTTGACTATCATCTCCAGGGTGTTGGGGTTGATCTGGCTGGGGTCAGGGATCTCTCGGAAGTGCTGGTCGTTCACATAAGCCTGCACCACGGTCATGCGGTTGGTGGTCAGTGTGCCAGTCTTGTCCGAGCAGATGGCAGTGGCGTTGCCCATTGTCTCACAAGCGTCCAAGTGACGCACCAGGTTATTGTCCTTCATCATTTTCTGGAAAGAACAGTTGAGGATGGGGGTAACAGTGGGGTGTGTTGGGTTCTGAAGGATCTCAATAGTGGAGCTAAATGCCAAAAGCAACCAGAAAGTATCATAGAGTAACAGTCAAAAGTTTGGACGCACCTGACTGAATGCAGTTTTTCATAACCTTAAGCCAATTTCATATAAAGGCTTAGGCTTAACCCTTAAATGCTGAGGTAAAAAAGCAGAAAGAAGCCTGGACTGATTTCCCACACATTTTGCTCACAAGCCATAACAGCCAATCTAAGAACTGAACTATAATCATATCAGAATTATATCAATATCAGCAGATATTTGCTTCAGAAATCATTGCCATTGGACATATGCTCAGATTTTACCAATATTTCCAACACTGACAAACATATGGCTAAACTACTCTGGATTTAAAGGACATATGGTCAAAAACAGTCCAATAGGACCGTAAAAAAGAAAATGATCTCTTTAATATCTCTGAAGTTTCTCCTTGTCAACAATAACATCAAACGGAAAGACAAAGGAGACTTTTGCGTAAATCTCCTGCTGCTCAAATATTTCTCCTGAGAAAAAGAGCCCGGCAAGTCTTCTAATTCATCAAAGAGCAGCGTTTGAGCAATAACATTTTCCTCTGGGGTTTTCAACAGCCAACAAGTGCATGAGCATATGCTGAAATTTTTTAGTCCTGTTGGAAAAGCATCCCAGGTGGCTTCTCATGAAGCTGCCTGAGAGAATGCCAAGAGTGTGCAAAGCTGCATCAAAGCAAAGGGGGGCTACTTTGAACAATCTGACCACTTTTGGTCACTCCATATGTGTTATTTCATAGTTTAGATGTCTGGTTTGGTGACCAAACTAGGCCTGTCATGATCACGAAATTTTAGCTGATGATTAACTGCCATATAAATAATTGTGATAAACAATTTAACTGTCTGTTTTGTTTGTTGTATGCAATCGTTAAAGCAGCATTATTCAAGGATTGGCATTTTACAGTTACAGTTGCAGTGTGTATTTCACTTTCTCACCACTGTTGTAAACACAGATCATGCTGTGAGCCCCCCACATGTACATCTTGCATTCGCAGCTGTTGGAACAAAACCACGTATCTTTATATCCTTTTTTGATGTTTTTCAGATTTTGACATAATGTGAAAACGCCCGCTGTCCTTTATTATTGTGTGTAAATTTCATGGTGAATGGACCAAAAGAAACAGCCCAACTTTACTTGGAAAAAAAGTCTGGTTCTATTGACTTACATTAAAAGTAAAGTATATTTTTTCTTTTTCATTTTGGAGATACAATGTTTTGTTCCGACATTAGCAATTTGAAGGGCACAGAATCCGACTTCCCTTTGTGTGGACGCACGGATTACACTCTTGCAATGTTGTAAATGGTGTAAATAACAGAAATCACAGTAATCTGTAGCGTCCACCTGTGTGATGTGCGTGAATGCGAAGGGAAATCGGATCCTGCTGGCGAGACGAAATTCAGCACAACCCCGACAGGAACAACATCACAAGAAAAAGCACCATGTCGACTTAACAGGTAGAGTAATATTACAGTATTTTATTACAAGAGGTTGCAAACTTTCAAGGCTTATTTGGTGTAATACTGATAAAGGCTGACCAAACGTTTTGGCATGAGATGAATCTATTTCTTTGCATGCCAGCCTGAAACAGGACAGGTTAGATGACTTTTTGGCAAACCTTCAGGAAAACCTTCAAAACTCCGTGCGACAGGGATAACACAGATAGGGTTACAGCCTACGGTGCAATCTTTCATTAATAACATTGGCAGGGATGCAGCTCACACTCTGCCGTTGGATTTTCGCTGGTTTCCTGTTAGCTATGAGACTGTCCTTCATCCTTTTTATCTTTTAAGCTCTCACCAACGAGTAAAAGCCAGACCGAGATTTACTCTTGTCTGGCCTTTTGCTCGCTTCCTCTGTCAACGTCTTTTTTGATCTTTTGGTAGCCTCTGCCATGATGTCCATGCTGGGAATACTGAGCTGGCTTCTTCTTATAGCTGGCTGAAGAGCCATAGTTGTTGGAGTGTGATGTGGTGATGTAAAGCGTTACGCATTTCTTGTGAGAGGCCTCGCTCCTCCAAAGTTACATAGCGCTATAGCAGCCATTCCGGGCCGGAGTGACAATGACAGAGCCGCTGTTCTCTCTATTACAAGTCAGTGAACCATCAAAATGATTTTGAAGCTGTTATTTTAAGGTAAAAGTGTTACATAAAGTTGCTTTAAAGTACAAGACTAAATCTGGCTGATTAGATAATTTGTTTCCTTGCTGTTAACACTTAATAATCCTCAAACATTACTCACTAATGCCCTCTAAACGTGTTATAGCATGTTTAGAGCAACTTTAAGAAGTTAAAATGTCAGTTGCTTTTATAAGAATCAACATGTGTCTCAATAAATTCCTCGTTCTTTTATTTTCATGAATTTGCCAAAAACATGCGATAGATCTAGTCCAAACATTTGACTGGAGCTATATATTTTTGTTACTACCCAATTCTGGTGAAGACTCCATGCTAAATCCTATTTCATATCTGCTAATTACACACACACACCCACAAATACAGAGGGTGCGTCTGGTCTTCCTCACCTTCACTGAGTAGGCTAGAGAGATGGTGACAGCGAGGGGGAGACCCTCTGGCACGGCAACCACCAGCACGGTGACTCCGATGATGAAGAACTTGACGAAGTACTGCACGTAGATGGGCGTGCACTCCGGTAGCCAGGCCCGCCTCTCCACCACAAACGTCTCAATCACAAAGTACAGCACCAAGATAATCACTGTGATAGCTGACATCACCAGACCTGGAGAGACGGACCACATATTCATATATATTAGACTACAAATCATTCTAAAGACAAAATGCCCAGCTGATGATATGTTAAAGTTAACTGACCGTTAGAAGCAGGGCCACATTTGCCCCACCACTTTTCAAAGTACTTTCAACAAAGAAAAAAGCATGATTATTATTTCTCTCTCGTCTCTCACTGAAACAAGAGAAGCTCTGTACAACGTGTAGATTCTGCACTTTCAATCGATACCACATTTGTGTTCGTAAGTAGAAGAGGAGATATTTTATTATGATGGAAAGTTATTGTTGAGTTTTGTTGTTTGTAGAAAGAAAAAAATATAATTTTGCCATGTTTTGTCTTACATCGAAACAAACAGAAAAATGCCGGCATGCAGACATTAACTTATCAGTACAAATATAAGAGTACAGTTGAGTTATGAATTACATAAATAAATGAATTACAAATTATGTAAATTGACTGTGATTAGATACATATCACTGTAGACAGAAGAAAACCTCGTATCTCCAAAATGAGAACTTTACAGGAGAAGGAAAAAAACTACTTTGCTTTTAATGTAAGTCAATGGAACCAGACTTTTTTCCAAGTCATTTTAGGCCGTTTCTTTTGGTCCATTCACCATGAAATTTACACACAATGTAAAGGGCAACAGGTATTTATGTCAAAAACTGAAAAACAACAAAAATGGATATGCGAGATTTTCTTCCGACAGCAGCGATATGTAATTCAAGTAAATAATTAAAAAGCATTCCAAAGTAAATATGCAATTACATTTAAATAGTACAGTAAAACTCCAGACTTCCTAAGGTTAAGTAGTCCAACTAGTAACTGGCAGTGGGTTATCAATGGCCTGCCTAACAAGATTTCCGCCAGTGCCACTCTCTTTTCTGATTGGCCAGCTGAGGCACCTCTTACCCGCTTTTCCGATCTGCACGGCCAGCTTGGTGAGTTTGCCCTGCAGGACGGACTTCTCCTTCTTCGGCACGTTGGCTTTCTTCTTCTCCCTCTCCTCCACCTCTCCGCCCTCCGCGCTCTTCAGCGGCTGCATCTCCATGGCGACGGCGCCGTCCTGCTTCTTGGCTGGTGGGCGGGACAGAAGTTGAGCGTCATTTACATAAGGACAACAAATCTGTCCTGGCGCAGCTCGGAGCTGCCGTAAGCATGAACCACCAACACCAACCATTCAGAAAACTATATGCATCGCAAAAAAAAACGCATCGTAATTTGGACATTTCTAATATGGGCTGGTCGTACATATGGCGCATACACAAAACTGGACACATGGCGAGAGAGAAAGCGAGACGAATGCAGACACAGTCACTGACGGCACAGTGGAAACACGCAGAGCGGCTGCAACTTGCGGGACAAGTGTATCACCCCTATCAACTCCCACAGAGGCTGCACGTTTTAGCACTGTTCAGCAAAGTGTCTATTCAGCAGAGGGTTTCCCTTCACACACAGTACAATGTAACAACGCTGCAAACACACTGTTTTCCTGTAATACTCTGCACAAAAGAGGTCTGCTGAAGCCCTGGCTGTCATGTATGTCGTTATGCGACAAATGGTGTGTCGGTACACGTCAATGTATGAACTTCTACCACATACACATCACTACAGGCTCATTTATGCAGTCCTGCAACACATCCATAAACGGTCATGGGCGCATACATGACATTAACATTTCTCTGTGATAATGGCCCCCATTTAGCAACAACTAGTTGAGCTACTGGGTGAAGATTTCCCACAGCAATAAAATAATTAACCCTCAGTGCCTCTCATTCATCTACTCTACTGTCCCTCTGGTACCTTTATTCTGATTGGTCTCCACTGCTGCCTCTGGCTGCTTGCCTGCGAGAGAGAGAGAGAGAGAGAGAGAGAGAGAGAGAGAATAGAGGTAGGTAGTAGGTGGAAAAGTGGAAGTGGAAGATAGAAAGAGGAAAAAGAACAGAGAAACAGAAAGAAAGGAGAGAGAGAGAAAGAGAAGAATAAAGGGAGAGGGAAGAATGGAAAGAGGTGGAGGAGGGGGAAGTGGAAAAGAAAGGAAGACAGGAGATACAAAGAGAAAAAAGAGAAGAATAGATAGAGGTAGTGGGTGAAAGTGATGAAAGAAGGGAAGACAGAATATAGAAAGAAAGAAACAACAGAGAGAGAGAGAGAGAGAGGGACAGAGAGAGACAGATAAAGACAGAATAGAGGAAGGTAGCAGGAGGAAAAGTGTAAAACAACAGAGAAACAGAGAGAGAGAGAAAGTGAGAGAGTGAGAGAGAGAGAAGTAAAGGGAGAGGGAAGATTGGAGAGAGGTAATGGGGGAAAGTGGAGAAAGAAGGGAAGACAGAAGATAGAAAGAGAAAAAGAATGGAGAGAGGTAGTGGGGCAAAGGGGAGAAAGAAGGGAAGAAAAAAGAGGGTAGAGAGAAAGAAAGAAACAATAGAGAGAGAGAGAACAAGAGAGAGAGAGAAAAAGAGAGAATAGAGGAAGATAGTAGATGGAAAAGTGAAAGAAAGAATAAGGAAAAAGAGCAGAGAAACAGAGAGAGAGAAATAAAGCGAGAGGGAAGAATGGAGCGAGGTGGAGGGGAAAAGTGGAGAAAGAAAGAAACAGGAGGTAGAAGGAGACAAAATAGAAGAATGGAGTGAGGTAGTGGGGGAAAGTGGAGACGGAAAGGAAGACAGAAAAAGAAAAAGGAGGGTATAGAGAAAGAAAGAAAAAAATGGACAGAGAAAGAGAGAGAGGAAAGAGGCAGTGGAAAGATGAAGAGAAAATATAGATATGGATAGAAAAAAGAGAGGTAAAGAGAGGAAGACAGAAGATAGAAAGAGAAAAGAGGTAGAGAAGGGAAAAGAAAGAAAAAATGTAGATAAAGAAAGCAAAAAGAGAGAAGAGAGGGGGAGAGTGATAAAGAGAGAAGAAAGAAGAAATAAGAGAATGGAGAGAATCAAAACGAGAAAAGAATGTAAGATATAAAAAGAGGAATAAAGACAGCAGAGAGAAAGAATTCAGAGAAAGAGAGAGACAGAGAGAGAGAGAGAGAGAGAGAGTAACAGGGGAATAGAAAGCGACAGACAGAGACAGAATGAGAGACAGAGCACACAGTGCTGTTGAGTGAGGGAAACGAGAGAGCACAGAACTATGGAAACAGACACACACACACACACACACTGCACATACACACACACACACACACACACACACACACACTGCACATACATGAACATAAACACTCAAACATAAACTAACACTAAGGTGTGTGTGAGGACTCAGTGTGTGTGTGTAAGTGATGTGATGTCACAGGTGTGTCTAATCTCTCTTACGTTCAGTCTGATCAGTCTTATCTGCGCTACATGCAGCTGTTTATGTCGTGTACATTGATTAGAAAGCTCGTCTGTCTGTAGTGATACGTACCATTGGTGATGCTGCTCTGTTTGGCCTCAGTAGTGAGTGAGTAACTACTGTCTTCTGATTGGGGAGCGTGAGGGGGGCGGGGTCATGTGGGTGTGGAGGAGGGATTGTGGGAGGTTTTAGGATCGGGTGGAGGTGAGAAACAAAGAACAGTAATCATAACACTGCCCGTCATGTGACAACACATCAGGGAGTGGGGAAATACGTATGTAGGTTATTAAGTAATGTAGATCATGCTTAAAGTAAAGTGGATATGTGGTTATTTGGAGAGAAGTTTTGAAGATGTATTTAAATTATGAGGGAAGATGTTACTGTGAGTCAGTTATCAGTCTGTCTAGATAACACAGTAGCTGAGAGAGAGAGAGAGAGAGAGAGTGATTCAGTGGGACAGCAGCAGAACATTAGCCAGGTTTCATCCAGCTGTTGAATTAAATTCTAGCGAATAATTGAAATGATGCAAATGAGGCTTCCATCAGCTCTGGACAAGAGAATAAAACTCTCCACAACATGTCTGTAAAAATACGTCTGAGAAATATGGAAGTTTTAGAAAGAAAACTTTAATGTCAGGTAGGGCCGGGCGATAAAATGATAACAATGATTATTGCGATATAACTTTCTTCGATAGAAATATAAGAAATGTTTGATAAATGTTTGATATAATAGACCAGGGGTCTTTAATTAAAATTTAATAAGGTCCAGTTAGAGAAAATTTCCTTAAGCAAAGGTCCGGAACATCATAATGTCTAACTTGCATCATGATTCAGTGCCATATACTGTAAACTGAAGTAGCTTAGTAGGTATATCAACATCTTATACAGTCAGCAACTGAATGTTAAATGAAATAAAATACAATTTGGTAATATTTCAACAATATTTATTGTCAGTTTTCTCTTTTTAGAGCACGTCATGTGAAATAATCTGACTCAGTTTCTTCTTCGACTGCTGTTTCTCACCTCTTCCCTCCCTGGTATGTGCGTCACTCATTCGAGTCTCAGTGCTCATCGTAATGCACAGATCTGATTGGCTGAGTAGTGTCTTGTGTGATATACGATGCATGCGATTGGTCTGTGAGTTTCCCGGGCCGCTAAACCGGAACCGTAATGACTAGAAATGTTACGATTATAACAGGACCACCCTGTCGAAATTAAATAATCATCCATAGTTTATCTGTTATAGGTTCAGGTCTGCATAGGACAGCGTCTGGGTCCGGACTCGGACCGCGGCCCGTCTATGAGTGACTGCTGTAATATACCATTCTCACACTTCTGCATTCTAGCGACAGCCCTGGTGGCGTTTTCTACTGCAAGGAAAGTGACACTACTCTGCTGTCACCACAAGAGGGCGCACTTCAGAGTTTTTCGACATGATTAGAGAGCAATCAGCGATCTGTTCTCCTGTAAACAAGTGTGAGTGACGAGATCAGTGGTGTAACTGTACTGTCCTATAGCGAACTGACTTCTTTCTGTCATCCTAGCAAGCTTAAGCAGCGTTAAATCACAATCCACACAACTACAGCGCAGTCACAGCGCTCGAACAGTCTTCATATTTTAGTATTAGTGCATTCCCAAGCAACAAAAGTGAAGGATCACTGCACTGATTTAAACGAGAGTAAACTGAGGATTCTGTGCATCACTGGAGAGTGGGAGAACACTAGCTTCCCAGGCTAGCTGTTTTTAGCAGCTGGCTAACTTCAAGCAGCGCTCTGTCACTCGCACAACACGGCAAATTGATGGTACTGTAGATCAAACAAGACAAAAAAGCACCGATCTCAGTTTAAACGGACCTAAAAGGAAGACGTTGCTTGTCTAGTGTGAGAAAATCACACTGGAGTTAAAGCTTTTATCTGTTTTCTTTTTAAATGATGAATATTATTATATGAATATAAAAATCGCAGCCATGCTGTGCCAGCTGGTAAAAACAGCTAACTTTCTCCCACTCTCCTATGACAGATCTGTGAAATCGTCCACTGTTTGGTGAGTGTTTGTCATGTTCTGACCATAATGGATAGTTTAAAACGACAATTAACCTTTAAACTTGAAAGAAATAACAATTTGACATTTATTGTGATAATTTTTTAATATCGAATGATATTAAATGGTTTATCATGATAACATTTTTGGCCATATCGCCCAGTTCTAATGTCTAGTAACTTTACATGGACTATTAGTTTTTGTTTTTTGGTTATATTAATGTCCATTTACCAGTGCAGGCACTTTATATTATCATTATATTTCTTTCTTTGATAAGTTAAATCAGGCTGGGGGATTAATCAGTTGTGATTGTGGTTTCAAACAATTATGAAAAAAGATAATCGGAATAAAACGATTATTGTGCCACATTCCATTTTGCAATGATGCTCTCGATTTGTCTTGTGTTACAAATTCCACGCAACCCTTTACATTACAGCACTGGGGTTTACACCCCTCCCTAAAAGCCCAAACACATCTAATTCATTTTAGTCAATTTTTTTTTTTATTATTTTTATATATGTTCAGTAGTTTTCAGTAGGTTGTGGAAGTGTCCTACAATACAGTTGATCTTTTTTTAAATTTTATTATTTGTATATTATTTATTGAAATGTACACACACACACACTTATATATATACTTTTTTTAGTTTTTTTACATTTATTTTTCTGTTGAATTATATTTTATTTTTTTAAGTTCAGTAAATGCCTGGTAAATAATTGTGATCTCAGTTTATCAGTTAAAATAATCAAAATAATTGTGATTATTTTAATAACTGTCCACTTCAAGCGAACGTACAAATATTTAACTACTTTTTTATAGGAATGCATGGTGATATCATATCGGACAGATGTTTAGATTTAACAAATATTTTAAACAACATTTAATGATGTATTTTAGAGCAGATGCTGAGTAATAAATAAAATATCTACATTTTATTCATCTCATTTTATTTGTAAAACCTACAGAAATAAATGTTATATTTTTCTGTATTGCCAATCCAGACATGTGTCATCCTAATTTCTACATATTTATGAATACTAACGTACCGGCATCAGTATTCACTGCACTCTGAAGGAGTAGAGGGTTTAGGTGACACTTGGCAACTGGGGCCAGAACATCTGCATTTTATTTATTTCTTTGTATTTGTAACCCCACAGAAATTAATGTTATAATTCTCAGTGATGCCAATCCAGGAAGACGTAATCCTAATTTCTACATTTCATGCTTCTGTATCGGTATTGGTAGATATCAATATGGATGGGCAGATAAACATGAAAAATATCAAATATTGACATCGGTCCACCATTACACCCTTCATCTCTGACTCTTATGCTGGCTATAGCAAATGAAGTGGAAGCGTCTTTTACCACCTCGTCCTTTATTAGTTTTCAAACGTTAGGTAAAATTCTCTGTGCTCAGTTTTGATGGATGCCATTAAACACTATGTCCTTTTGAGTCTTAACACTGAGACTAATGAACCAAGGACTTCAGTTCACCAGCAGTCCGGGTGGATGAGACATGCCTATGCTGTCATACTGTACTCTCTTTCCATCCCATTCATAAACATTCCTCCAGGCACTGACCACACCACTCTTTCATTCATCTAAAGGAGCCCTATGTACTCTATATAAGCCAGAACCAGCTGCTCTCCACTTCTGCTGCTGATGGCCATAAAGCCTTTGAATGGGCTTGTGCACTCCTGCACGTCCTTTTGATTGAACCCTTTCTCTTTCTCTCTCTCTCTCTCTCTTCCCTTCAAAGCTATAAGTGTATGTGAGTTGATAGGGTGAGAATTTGTGAATAAAACTTCAACATTTCTGTTACTCATTTTCTTCTGCTTCTCACCTCTCTAGTTTTCACTGTGTGGTATGTGTGTGTGTGTGTGTGTGTGTGTGAGTGTGTGTGTGTGTGTGTGTGTGTGTGATTGCTCTCATTCCTCACACCTACCTTTCTTCTCTTTCTTCTCCTCCTCTCCCTCTCCAGCCCCCAGAAGAGTGAAGATGATGCCAGACTGAGAATTCACTCCAACAGCCGTCACCAACATCCTCCCCGATCCCTCCATCACATGGGTGCCTGAGAGTGAGAGAGAGAACTTAAATAGATGGAAAAAAACACCTGTTCCTCCATGAATAGACACACAAACTCTCTCTGCCTCGCACAAAACTGGGGGATCTTGTTATATGTTTCCATTGTAATTCCTCACATTTCTTTTTAACGGCAAAAAAGTTTATCCACCTCAAACAAATGTGCAAACTGTTAGGCAAATGTAATATTTGAAATATATATTACTTGCCATTTCTATCAAGCCTTTTTATAGCGAGGCACAATATTATTATATCACTATTAGCAGATAATTGCTTAAAAAAAATATGATGGACGATATTTGATAACACACACGTTGTGCACCACAATATAACTGCAATGAAATACGGTACAATTATGTTCCCTAACTAAAGGTACGGAAGGCCTTTGTGAGCACCATCCCTTTGATATGAGGGGTACCACCCCAGCGACAGTTTAGGACGTGTTTTTTAGAAAGTGTACTGATATGTTAGCACTTCGCTGTCGTCAGAACAAAAATGGTAACTTTACAGGAGAAGGAAAAAGCATACTTTACTTTTAATGTAAGTCAATGGAACCAGACTTTTTTCCACGTAAATTTAGGCTGTTTCTTTTGGTCCATTCATCTTGAAATTGTGATACAATGTAAAGACCAACAGGCGTTTTCAAATTATGTCAAAAACTGGAAAATGACAAAAATGGAGAGGTTTTGTTCCGACAGCAGCTTTTTGTCTTCTTAATTGAGTAATCGAATAAGCTATCTGTAGTTAGGAATATAAAATGAAATTAATTGCATATTATCACAATTTTTAAAAGGTCATCAAAGAACAAGGAGTGGGCAATATGGTTTTGATAAGTTGGAAAAAAAAGGCTCCAGTAGTGCCACATTTAAACAAGGACACAGTGTCAATAATGCGAAGCATCACTCTTATGAAACACCAAAGTCTACTGGAGTGTAGTGGAGTCCAGTGAAGTGCCTCTTGCGGAGAATCTTCAAAATACTATCCAAAACTACGATTACAATGATTTTTATTCATTCGTTTTTGCACTGAACTAAACTCAACTGAACAAGACTAATTATGCTCGGTTTATAATGAAACATGAAGGACACTGCGCTGTTGTCACAATACAAAAATATGGTCAAACTTTCACCTCTGCATAGAACTTCTAAGCAAAACTATCAATGGACGTATTTTAAACAAAAAGATGACAAATTACAAGATGACAAGTTTACACTGTGGGCAATTCCTGAGTTATCATTCTGTAAGTTAACTGGTACCAAATTAAATCACACACACAATAGACACACAAACACAAAGATGAAACAGGAATGAATCATTTCATGTTAGACTAAACATTTTGTGTTTTCATGTTTATTTATGCTAGAAAAAAATTTTCTTGCTGTTTTTTCTTTTACTATCTATTTTTAATATATCGCTGCTGTCATATCTCCATTTTTGTCATTTTTCAGTTTTTGACATAGTTTGAAAATACCTGCTGGCCTTTACATTGTGTGTAACTTTCATGATGAATGGACCAAAAGAAATTCTGGTTCCACTGACTTACATTAAAAGTAAAGTATGTTTTTTCCTTCTCCTGTAAAGTTACCATTTTGGAGATATGAGGTTTTGTTCCGAGAGCAGCGATATACAGATATTTAAATTAGGAATGAGATGGTTAAATATTTTATGTATAAACTACAATACAACCCAATGATAATCACAACTTTTCACATTTTACTAATTCAGACAACCATGTAGGGTTACTACTGTCTTTTTAAGAAGTTAGGATGGAACAAATGCTACAGTCTTCCTGCAAAACTTGCGTATTTAAAAATTGCGTATTTATTTCAACGGCAGTTCATTTTTTTGTATTATAAATAATTATGAGAGGTTCAGTAAAAAACTCGATATAATACTTGTAGTGAAATTATTTTTGAGCATTCTAATAACACCATGATAATACATAAAACTGCTACTTTGGTCAGTAATGACAGGAAACATTTAGACCATCTCATATTCAAACAGCAAAAATAGTTAAATTTATCCAGACCATGTTGGTGACATAATGGTGACCAGCCCAGAGTTACTGCCCCATCCCTGCGGGCACGGTGCTTACCCAACCAGCCTCTCCATACATCTTCTTTAGGCAAATATCATTAGGTTATTATTCAATAATGCCTCCCGTATGGCAGGAAAGCCTAATAAAACGAATGGAGTTAGCCGTGGTGGGCCCTAAGAATAGCAGCAGGCTGGAGAGGGAGGCCACGCGCTGCAGAACACAGCAGGAACCAGAGACGCACTGATCCAATTAGCAACATCTGGATTCCATAGCAGCCTCTCAGTCATACTGACATACGCTGTCAACGAGGTAAACACAAACAAACACATGCACACATAAACACAACTTACCAGAGAGAAGCATAGGGTCCTTTTCCACTGACTTGCGCACGTGGTCCGACTCTCCGGTCAGGGAGCTCTCGTCGATCTTCAAGTCATTTCCCTGAATTAGGATGCCATCAGCGGGCAGGAGGTCACCTGGACGCACACAAGAGGAGACGCATTTATCTAAGGTCCACTGAGACCACTGGGGACACCCCAATCTAATCCGAAAGATCAGTATCAGTTATATTAAGCCTTATCCAATTCCAGTCCTTTCATAAGGATATTATATTCCTTTTATAACACTATCATAGAGGTGCCATAAATGGACATTATACACAATTTGTGGCAGCACATTTTCAAAAGTTCACAAGCAGTTTGAAGTCTGCAGTGTGGAACTATATCACAGTAGAAAATGAAAACAGCTCAACAGCCAATTGTAATATTAGCAATGCCAGTGTTTAAACCAGTCGCATGTGAAAAAGTGAGCGTGCAGCTATTGCGCAGTTGGCACTAACAGTGTGTTTAAAGCTGAGAAAAAGGAGAAAGCTAGGCTAATTCACATACCAAAAAATGGTCAAAAATATGAACAAATTACATTAACATATTAGTCTGACACTACATACTGTAGCATTCACCACTATTTAAGAGGACACTGCTATGCACAAGTCATTGTGCTTTATTAAATAGCTGTATTTGGCCACAGCCACGCCGTACATAGGAGAATTTTCACTAACAATTCGCTCTAAACCTAAGCTACGTCCTGCTTTCTCAGCCGTCAGCGTTAGACACTTCCAGAACAATTTCAGAGCAATTGTTAAAAACATAACATGCACACATTACTGAACAAGCTACAACACTAAAGATAAAGTGATTTTACTGAAGTATTTTAACGTAACTAGCCAAACGTAGGCACATCCAACATTGCACCAGTTAGCTCTGTTAGTTAACAGATGAAACCTCTGTTTAGTTACTCATCTGACATGAAAACCTATCCAATTCGCTCTGCTATTTTTGAGTACTAAGACATGTTTGTAAACGTATACCTCTGCCTGCTGCTAAACCTTTCTGAACAGCAGTACTATCACCTAAAAAGCCTAAAAAGTCATTCATTAAGCCTTGGAGTCACTCAAATATCACAATTAGTTTGACTACTCAAAAAATTTCCAATACATAGGCAGTCATTCTTATCAGCATCACTGAGCCAATAAACATGGATAAACATGCTTGTTCCAAAATCTAGGCTAGTGATTGGCTGTCTGTAACTTGATTAGCCTGCAACCTGTCCATAAATATACCCACCTCCAGTACCTTACACCTCATTCTGGTTTCAGCCACTTTCAGTTTGTAACGTAAAGAAGGAATTGTTTGTGCTTCGGGCTCAAAGTCAAGGTATCAGTATTTGTATCAGTATTAATAATGTTTGGATGATACCCAGACCTAGCCGAGCATATTTTACATAAATAAGATTGGTTTTATTAACCTTAATGTACTTATAATGTGCTGTATAAAATTCAAAAATTAAAAAAAAAAAATCTGAATAGACTCAATATTGGCTGATGAAAACACTCGACTGGGACATCCTTACTGACCACATTCAGCTCAACTGGTCACCAGTACTTAATATAATTTATATACACCGATCAGGCACAACATTATGGTGGACTATTCTCAGTCCAGCAGTGACAGTGAGGTGTTTGAAAACTCCAGCAGCACTGCTGTGTCTGATCCACTCAGACCAGCACAACACACACTAACACACCACCACCACATCAGTGTTACTGCAGTGCTGAGAATGATCCACTACCCAAATGCTCTGTGAGGGTCCATAGGGGTCCATAGGGGTCCTGACCACTGAAGAACAGGGTAAAAGGGGGCTAACAAAGTATGCAGAGAAACAGATGGACTACAGTCTGTAATTGTAGAACTACAAAGTGCACCTATATAGTAAGGGGAGCTGATAAAATGGCCAATGAGCGTCGAAACAAGGAGGTGGTCATAATGTTATGCCTGATCGGTGTATCTGGTCAACTAAATACTGTATTCCGTTACTGTTGTTCTGGTTGCTACCTCAGTGATTGCTACGTTCATATACGCTAGATTATCTGCTAATATGTCATAGTATGTTACATCCTGCTTTGCACAGCTCTACGTATTCTCAGTACCATTTACTGTCTGTGCACTGTTTTGTATTTATTGTAAGTCTTTCATATTTATTGCACTGTGTATATTCATGGTCCTGGAGGAATGTTGTTTCGTTTCACTGTGTATTTGTAAAAAGCTGAAATGATAATAAAGTCTCTTGAACTTGAACCAGCTTAGCCGGGGTGAGGCTGTTTCATCTAGAGCTTCACAAAGTGCTCTCTCTCTCGCTCCCTCTTCCTCTCTCTCTTTCTCTCTCTGAACAGGTTCAACCGTGGCAGGGACTGACCGTATTTGATCTGGGCCATGTCTCCCACCACCATCTCAGCCACAGGGATCTGGATGACGTTGCCATTGCGCACCACTGCGAAACGCTGCTCCAGCTCGATGCGGCTCTGCAGCCCGCGGAACTGCTTCTCCTTACTCCAGTCATTGAAGGCCGTTACCAGCACCACGCAGATGACCGACAGCAGGATGGCCGCACCCTCGATCCAGCCGGCCTCCGCCTCGCCCTCGTCCTCCGCACCGCCCGACACGTTCCCACATGCTGCAGAGAGAGGCGTTAAAGAAAACTGCAAGATTTAAACAGATTTCTCTTTACAATGTCAGCATATTTAAGAAAGAGGAGAACATGATTATTTATTAAAATGATTATTTATTAAAATGATTACCACTTATCCCCAAACTTTTGATGGCAGTATATAGGAAAATCCTCATCTAGAGGCTAGGGTTCAAAACTAGGAATGCACGGTGACATCGGTTTCATATCAGTATCGATAAAGAATTGCTTAAAAAAGATCATCAGGATTGAAGAGATTTTTAGATTTGACTGATATTTCAATCCAATATTAGATGGAGGTTGTTATATATTGTACACCGTGTTTGGGTGACGTTATGTGGGTTATTTGTACAAAAATGTCAAAATTTTATTCATTTCACTGCATTAGTTGCTGTACAGACAGTTATATTTATCTGTAATGCTCATCAGGGCAGATCTAGTCCCAGATTCTACATTCTATACATTTTCATGTATCGGGATCAGCATAAGCAGATATGTGCATGCAAAATATATGATACTGGCATTGGCTAGGACTGACCATTAAATATCATATAAATAACTGCTATTAATTATTTGTCTTTTTGTTCATTTTATGTAGCTAAAGCAACTAAATCAGCTGATTAGCTATCTTTATTTACTTTGCAGCCAACTCAAGGTCATACTTACATGAAACGGTGTACTGTACATGATAAATGATAAATGATATACACTGTATTTATAAATATATAAATGGTAATTGATTAACACTGTAGTGCCCACAAGCATAATCACAAGTTTCTACAGTTAGTTAGAATTATGCATCAACCAAAGCTTACATGTGTTTTCTTGAGATTAAAAATGTGAGCAAAAAACACTTGTTCTGCAAGTATACATGCAAAAGTTAGCGTTAGCTGTCTAGCAAACAAACAAAAAAACATATTTTTCCTTTAACGTGTCGTGAATGTGTGTTATAGCACCTGGTTAAGAACTTATGTTGTTTCTGTAAGACCCATAACTTCCTATCTCAGTGAACGTGTTCCCTGCTTTCTTTTATTTTGTCCCAGCCAAACTGATAAAAACGCATCCATTTCATATTCCTCATGTGATACAATGAGGAAAGTGACTGCAGAAAATAACTGCAGTCAGCTTAAACAATTGCGATTATCTCAAATTACTGAGATGGGGCGATTACGTAATGCGTTAGTACTTTAATGTCAAACATGATTACTTTGGGATTTTCAAAAAGGTGAAAGGAAGAAGGAGCAGCGTAACTCCATGTAATCAGGTTACAGCGACACATTTCAGGAGTTTTTTTAGTTGTACAAAGTACAGACTGCGGGAGGTGACAGTCAAACTCCTGCCACTCACGTGTGACCTCCTCTAAACTCTCCTCAAGTCTTGTCTTGCCATTTTCTTCCCTCCTTCCTCCCTCTTTTCTGCATTCGCTCTGATCATTCCTCCTCCCTCGCTCTCACTTCTCACCCTCCCTCTCACCTTTTTCAAAATCCTCCCACGCTCCCTCCATCCGGCTCCCTCTTTCTTCTCTCCCACTCTCCAGCCCTTCCTCCGTCTCTCTCTCCTTCCTTCCTTCTCTCCCTCCATTTACTAACACCACCCCTCTGAACCTCACTCTTTCTCTCTCTCACAGTTCTCTGTCCATCCTCACCCCCCCCCGCTCTCTCTCACCGTCGCTCTCCTCCCCCGGGGGCTGGTAGAAGGACAGGCCGAGGGAGATGATGGCTGCTATCTCCAGGATGATGAGGGTGACGTCCTGCAGCGCCTCCCACACCAGCTGCAGGAACGTCTTGGGCTTCTTGGGGGGAATGAAATTGCGTCCGAACGCCTGCGCCCGCCTCTCCAGGTCCGCCGGGTTGCCAGACAAACCTGAAACAGAAAGGAAAGTGAAAAAAACATGATGCGTTTACTCAGCACTAAAGCACGTGTACACTCAGACGTTTTAAAAGAGACTTCTAAAAGATCTGACTGAGGTACTTTCTGGAGAGGCTGAGGTCACCTGCTGCTCCTAAACCAAACCTTTCACATCACTATTCAGGTCTCGGAGAAATGCATGAATACTAGCTGAAAATGGAAAGGAGCATTAAAAGCTTTAACCTTTACAGTTCCCAGTTACTGATGGATTAACAAAGGCAATTTTATGCAAAATGTATTATTTATTGCTTGTGGTTGTAATGTAGATTTTACACAGTGAATCAATATCATGTCTGTGTTTGTAAGCAGAAGAGAATTATTAAGTATTTGAACTTATTTGAAAAGTTATTGTTGTGTTCAGTTGTACTGAAAAACAAATCGGGAAGGGTGTCTACATCACACATTCACAACATCTTAGATAAACACTTCAGAACATAAATCAACGTTCATAAAGCATACGTGTTTTACATGACATTAATATGGACTACTGTGTCATTTTACTGAGAGATATTCTTTAAAATAAGAGTCCTCATTTTTATTTTGAAAAAGTGTGTTATTTTTAGTAAAATACCTAATTTCTTCACAGCCAAAATAAAAAAATACCTTGCTTTACCCCTTTTTTTGGTCATTTTTAATGCTTATTTTATTTTTAGTGATGTTCTTCTTCAAGTATGATATAAAAGAAGGCACATGTATAATTGTTTCTTGGCTATTCCAATTAATTGACACTCTTTTAGGCTAAATGCTGCACTGTTATTCCACGGATTTATAAATTCTGTTTTGCCTTTACCTCAAAATTGATGGAAGTTAATGCAAAGTAGTCTACTTACATTTATGTGGCTGCCCAGCATCTAAAGGAAATTGATGAGTTTTGCATCCTGTAAAATTCGATTGATTGTTCCGAGCATATTTATGAGTAATTTACTGTCCTTATGTAACAAATGCTTAGGAAAAAAAAAATAAAAAATTAAAAAGAAGTTGAAAGTATAGGTGAAATGTGTCAAAGCACTCAATGACCAAAGGGGTATAGCAAGGTCATTTGTATTTTGGCTGTCTAGAAATGAATACTAAAAATACCAAAAATAATGTAGTTTTTTAAAAATAAAAAATGAGGACTTTTATTTTTAAAAAATGTATCTCAGTAAAATGACATAGTAGTCCATATTAATATCATGTAAAACGTATACTTTATAAATGTTGGTTTAAACATTCATGAACATTTTATGAAGCGTTTATGTAAGATGCTATAAATGTATTATGTAGACACCCTTCAAGTAAAGTGTTACCAACAAATTTGACAGAAAAAATGAGAAGTGCAAACATGAACATGCTAATATAGAACGTAAATCAAATGTAAATGTAATTCATTGTACCACTCTGTAATTAATTATGCAATAATGTTACTATATTTATATATTACAGCAACTTCAAGTCCCAAATAATAAAATATAAAAAATATTTGTATGATAGTAAACTTGAGTGTTATATTAAACATCTAGGGAAGCTTGAAGGAAAAATATAAGATATAAACATGAAAAATATAGCTTAAAATTCTGGTCAGACCTCTTTGAGAACTGTGTGGGTTTGGCTAATGAGCAGCTTGGTTGACAGCGGTCAGTCCAACACTCCTAGCCTACGCCACCACTCATACAGGACTAAAATCATTATCCTCCTTTTATGTGATTTATGTGACGAACAGACGTGCAGGCGGACAGATGAACAAACGGACGGACGAAGCAACGTGTGAATGAAAGAACGGTGTAGCTGTATGGACGAATTAACAGGGACAGAGACGTCAGCCTTGTGATTGGTCAGAGGAATCTGAGAAGGAAGGCTGAGAGAGCCCTAAAGCGGGCATGTTATGGGCAGGCCTAGCTATGATGTGATGTGTACCTCAGTATCACTGCTGGACTGAGAATAATCCACCAACCAAAAGTATCCAGCCAACAGCATCCTGTGACCACTGATGAAGGACTAGAGGATGACCAACACAAACTGTGCAGCAGCAGATGAGCTATCATCTCTGACTTTACATCTACAAGGTGGACTAACAAGGTAGAAGTGTCTAATAGAGTGGACAGTGAGTGGACACAGTGTTTAAAAACTCCAGCAGTACTGCTGTGTCTGATCCACTCAGACCAGCACAACACACACTAACACACCACCACCACGTCAGTGTTTCTGCAGTGCTGAGAATGATCCACCACCCAAATAATGGCTGCTCTGTGGTGGTCCTTTGGGGTCCTGACCACTGAAGAACAGTGTAAAAGGGGGTAACAAAGTATGCAGAGAAACAGATGGACTACAGTCTGTAACTGTAGAACTACAAAGTGCACCTATATAGTAAGTGGAGCTGATAAAATGGACAATGAGCGTAGAAACAAGGAAGTGGTCATAACTGGTGTATACATAAACACACACACACAAACCAGCTGCATGTATGCTTGAAAGTTTTTACTAAAACAATAATATAAAAATATTAAATAAAAGTGATTATTGATAGATTTAAAAAAAAACAATTTTATGCAAAATACATTATTTACACATACATATACATTTCTGTCCACAACAAAACATAATCTGAAACAATGCAAGGAGTTTTCATGTAGGACTTCAGCTGAAACCACATTTTTATATCACACTAATTACTGTGTTTCTTGATAAAAGTTAATTAGTGGCATGTCTGTCTTATTAAAGCTTTTTCAGCCAATTAGTTGAGTTGTAATGACAGAGGGTAGGGTCTAAATAGCCTTATTTGGTAATATCCGATATTTCAGTCCAATATGACTAGAATAATTCCATATAAACTACTGGCTTCATTGTTATTGTTAAATGTGAAAACAGTAAAAAAGAGAAAGAAAACCAAACATTTGGCTGGAAGTGTATATAATCATATTTTGCCATCCTGTCCAGTCATATAAACTAGATGTTGACACTTAAATTATGGATAAGCTGTATACAGTCCATCATTTCTATATTAGAATCTGCTCGCTTGATATTAATGTGCTTTGGCTGTTAAAGCATCTTTTCTCATGAAAAATATGAACCTGGAAGCCATGAAAGTATTTCATAACTAACCAATAAGAGTACATAAAGAAATGACTTAGGGCCGCAGACACATAATCACAAAAAATGTCCTGAAAAATATAACAAACCAGCACCTTTAGTGTCAGTCTTTCCTTCTTTCATCTTCCTCCTATTCTCACCACGAGGCACTTTAATATCTCTAATATCTCCAGGCTCTCTTCACTCCAGCTTATTCCCACCATCATAACAACAGCCACGCAGTGAGGAAATAATAAACAGTGCTCAGTGACATAAAATACTATAGGTAACAGTATCCCTTAACTAATATTATATCTACTGTTTATATGTAATTGACCACTGCAATACACCCCATAATAATACTGCCATAATAAGGCCATAAAAAGAAAATACAGCCCAAATAAAAGTTATAATTGAAACTAATGTGCAAAATAAGAACAAATATGGGCAACTGAATGAACTGAACACTCTCATGAAGTGTTATGAGTGACTGGAGACAGTAACAGTGGAGCGCTCCATATTTCGCAGTCCTAATAAGCCAAACTCACAACATCCAGTACATTTAGGATGTAAATTATTCATTGTTTATTTCCTACGCACTGGCAGGGGAAAAATAAGGCCCATTAAGTCAGCAAAACAAGGGAGAGGAGGGGTTAAATACTCACCCAAACTGTATTATTAAAGCGATAGTTTGGAAAAAAATCTAATTTACACAGTTCTCCCCTTAGACTAAACGTAGTCAATCAGCCCAGACACGTCCAGTGTCTGAAGCTTGATTGTTTAGTTTTGGAGCTACGATGCTAATGTTGATGCTAATAAGCAATGAAAACATCTGTTTTTACTGTGAAAAAAGGGTTAAACTCATAAATTAGCACCGCACAAATAGCAGCAAATTAAAAATGGACAAAACTATGTTGCATAGCTTAAAATGATTTACTAAACTAATTTACAAAGTATAACTAAAGAAAGGAAGTAAGCAAAAATAATGGTGTTGTTGGAAGAAAACCTCATATCTCCAAAATGAGAACTTTACAGGAAAAGGAAAAAGCATACTCTACTTTTAACGTAAGTCAACGGAACCAGACTTTTTTCCAAGTCATTTGGGGCCATTTCTTCTGGTCCATTCTTCAAGAAATTTCCACACACTGTAAAGGACAACAGGCATTTCCAAATTATGCCAAAAACTGAAGAACGACAAAAATGGAGATATGAGGTTTTCCTCCGACAGCAGCAATATGTAAACTGGACTGTGAGTGGAAAAAAAGTAAGGATCAGTGGAATTTTGTCTGTTACTCTGCTTAACCACCAGTGGGCTGCCCGGAAAACACTGAGCAAAATGCCTGTAGACCGTCAGCTTTGCCATATCAGGGTAGCCAGGCGTAAGGACCCCCAGGATGCTTTGTGAGTGAATTATGACCGGATCGCTCAAACCACATTCGGACGTGGTCAGAGACGGATCTTGATCACATTTAACACAAGTGTAAACAGAAAGCGTTCTCATTCATTGTCCAGGCCAAGCTCTTCAACTCGTATCGTAGCAAGAAAAAGACTAAACACAAGTAAAAGGGAAATGACGTGTGTGTAATCTAAATTCAGATCTCATCTGGTCACACACTTCTGTGAAAAGTGTAAAGTGTAAAAGGAATCCAGACACGAAACACAGGTGAACAGGCTCACACTGTCAGAAAGCACATGATCAAGCCTATCTGAGCTTATTTAACAACTCAATGATGGTCTCAGTATATAGCTTGTATTATACTAACTGGTGCCGCATAAGCTGTCATGACTTCATGTTAACTACGTTAGTCTTGTGACTTCAGTGGAAAAATTCAAAAAACAATCTCTGGACACCAAACACGTCTCGGCTGATCGTCTACTTGCGCATCATAGCTAAGCCTGCCCATAACATG